AAATGCCTAGTAATTTACTACTCAGTCGTTGATTTTGCGTTCAAAAAAAACAACATTTAGACCTGAATTTTCGTCTTGTTTGGGAATCGTATTGCGGCCAAGGTTAAATGCGTAGACCATCGAAGATGTTCGGGAGGACCCTTAAGAAAGAGGAGTGCTTAATGTATTGCCATAGCGATAAGGCCTCGTATCTGTTCCTCCTGGCCACTTGTTTTTCATACTTAAATCAATTCGAACTCCATCCTATTGCTGGAGAGGTGAAGCAAGCACCGGAGAAATGTCTGTAGTGAACTGTTTAAATGAATAGTAGCTAGCTTCATTTCATTGGTTGGTAGCATTTCTGCTGAACAATCTCGAAATCTCTTTCACGCATGGTCACAACTTCTCATTTTTATTATTTAGCGATAGATATCGGAGTATTTACCTTTTGTGCTGCGATTTGCTTTTGGCGGCCACTAGTTTAAATCATTCAGTCTTCCCTGAAAGATAAAACAGAAATGATAGCCGTCAGCGTCCAGACAAACTGTGAGACAGTCGACATGGTCTGAAGGCCACGTGCACAATGGACACGCGTTTCGGTGTCCACGCGATCAAGCGGAACCAAGTTCTTCCTTTGGCCGACTTCAACTTTTGGGGAAAATCTCGCTTCAACAGAAACCTCGATGGCCTCATGGGCCATTGTTGTTGTCTTGCTTATGGTTTCAAAGTATGCACAGTATCACCAAAAAGTTATTCTTTTCAAGCGACATTGTGACATCGATGAAAAATCGCTTTTATTGTTGCCATTTTAGTGCCTCCTCTTATTTTGACGACTCTCTTCCCTTTATTGAGTGTCTTTAGCTGTAAACCTTTAGGCGGTTTTTTCATTCTCGTTGTCTTCCCCTTTCTAAAGCGGAACATCACTGGTTAATTGAGGTTTTTACTTTGTACAGCGAAACTTGTGAGAAATTTGGGCTTCTCCCCTCTTGACATGATGCTGAGGTTAGGCAACAGCACTGGGTTGAGGCTTGTGGTTTTGTGCATTGACTCAAATTCCTCTTGCGAAAGCGGGTTGGTGAATTTGATCTTTGTTTTGCAAAAGCATTTTGTTATAGTGAATGCGAGTTGGGTTGAGGGGGAAATAAATAGCGTCGTTTTTTGGCGCAGTGTGAACAAAAGACAGTAGCTAAAACCAATTCAGCCTTTATTTTCTGTTTTTTTTTAAATGAGAGTTCAAAAAGTAGTTCTATTGTAGACTATGGATTGAATATGGCATTACAGGATCCACTTATCAAGCCTTTATAAACTTCGCTTCTGTGCAAGTCCTCAGGTTGTGTAACTAATCCAGAACTTGATATTTGTTGAACTTCGTATTGTATTTGAGGCTTGGTGATTGAAGCTTCAGCTTTGTGATTAGTAACTTTAATTTAGCCGTAATAAAGGCTCAGTTTTTCTCAGCCCTCAATAAATTAGTCAAAACAACCTCCAGTCATGCCATGACGTCCCAACAACAATCACAGACCGGTACTGAATCTTGAGACGTCGTTTAGTTGCATGAATTTTACAACTTGTATGAGTTAAAGACCATTTTACGTGAGTCATGGTCGTGACTTTTTGATTAGCGGTAACTCATACCTACATCATCGTTGTTTCTATAATCTTTTTAGGATGAATTGATTGGGGCCCATGAGCCACCAAGCTGCTGGAAGCCACACTATATGTCATTCCGTGGATGGGAGCTACGAATTCCCCTTCGTGTGCTCAATCCCTCCGGTCAATTGCTCATCTCATCAACTCTCCCGCTGACAGCACGCCACCACATGACCTCCTTCAGTCTGTGTTTAAGTGATGCCACTGCCGATTACCTCAGAAACCCCATTCTCGTTGTTCACTCCAATGCCACGCTGGCCTCAGTGCGTAAACTCGTTGCGCTCATCATTCCCGTGTGTCTCTATGCCCTCGCTAACACTACCACACAGTTTGCTTTTGGTTCTGAGGTCCTCTCCCTCGACTCAATCAAGCCACCCGGCGTTAGCGGTCTGCACGAGTTAACTAATCGCAATCGACAGGCACCTCTCTCTGATCCTAAGAGTGAGACACCTCTTGGACACAAATTGGACCGTGAAGCGATTGGAGAACTTGGGTTCCAGACGGGGCGAACTTTAGTAATTCGATTACGATCACATGCAGAAGTGCAAGGATTTGGAGGCGATGTTAATGGTGCTAGTTCTTTTAGCATTTCTGATGGAATGCACAGCTCTCTGCTTCGACGCTCCTCAGGGTTGTCAATGAAATCGAGTGGTAGTGGGAAGTTGCATCCGCCTCCATTGCCCAATGTGGCCTCTTCAGTCTCTACTTCATCGTTTCTTCCAAAAGTAGCATCGTTTCTCCACTCAGAAAAGCAAAATACGCCACTGTTGACAGCCTCAGCTAATGCTGGTGATCCTGGATGTCTGCAGTCACCATACATGCTTCCTAGTCTAATGCTCGCTTCTAGCAGATCTGTATACGAATCTGTGTTTGAACTGGCGGAGAACGATTTGGCGGAAAACGGAACGTCACAGAGCAAACCAAATTTGCTTCACATGATCAGGCTTCTGCTTTACTGTCTGCCCACCTACCATCCACCCAACGGCTTGCACATATCGGAGCGACCTGGCAAGGCAACTTCCAAGTCGGTCTCCAATGCGTTTGTGGCGTCTATGGTGTGCACTCCAGAAAATCTGATTAAGGCCCCACAATTCCGCTTACTCTATCTCCTTCAGGTCTGTGAGGAATGCACTCTTATTGCTCGTTTTACCTATTTTAAACTCATATAATAAACTTAGTTTGTTGGAGCCTCTTCCTGTACAGGAAACTTGTGCTCCTCTGTTGCTATCTTTCTTACCATTCATTTCCGTGGCCTTAATTGTACTCAAGCATTTGCATGGTTTTTTTTTGCAAAATATTCACAAAGTTGAGGCAGGCAATTCGTTTCCTAGGTAGGAATGTCATTTTCAAGCAAATTCGAAACTATTTTTATGCTTAATTCCACGCACATCATGCAAACTTTCGTTGCATCGTTTTTTATTCGTTGCGGTGCATATTCCCTCCATCACGTGCACAAAAATAGTTTCTTTTACGAGTTATTTTTGGTTTCTTTATTGGATTTCGTTGAAAAGTCCCATAAATTACTTCGCTTCTCCATCTGAACCCTTTAATCAAAGCCCTGCTAACATTTGCACTTTTGATAGCTGATAGAAACTGCTGCCTTCAATCTAGATGACTTTTTCTCTCCAGCAGAGCTGCCAACTGGTGAATGTTCTCTAAAATGAACTGATACATTTCACCTTCATTGTATATCCACATTGAGCATTTGAGACTAATGACTGTCTCGCACAGTCAGATGTATTTGCTCTAACTTTTTGGGAAAACAATGTTAGGCATTAAAGCTGTTGCTAGAGCTGGAGTTGGCAAGCAGCTACTTAGTTAGTGAACTTGAATTGCTGTGTCTTTAAGTTTCTCAGTGGCCGACTAGTCTCACCCGAGTCCTCGGCTTGGTGGGAACGTGCTTGGGATCCCTCTTCGGCAATGGCATCTGCTCGGGTGACAGAGCCCCAGCGCGTAATTTTACCCTTAGAGTCGCTGCAGGCTCGCACTCCTACAGCGCACCGCTTGGCCCCACTAGAGACGGAGGAGGCGACATCGTCTAGCAATATTCGCACCACCATTCCCCCCACTACCTCTGCTCCAGTTGCTGCATCTGCCTCTGCAGTTCTCATCTCCTCTGAGACCTGCCTCCACATCCCTTCAACACGGTCATTGACCGATGCCAATGGCTCAACGTCGTGTCCACCTTCTCCTGAAATGGTTAAAGAACCGAAGAAGCGATTAGTTGGCAGTTATCACAAGGCCGCAAAATGGTTTATCGGTGGTGGAAGCGGTGGAGGAAAAAGGAAAGGTAGTAATTGTAAGTTTTTTGCGTTACGTTTCGCCTGATTTTATTTACGTGGCGTATAGGCAGTTTTCCTGATCGTTAAATTAACGTGTGAAACTAAATGGCTTGTGGTGGTAGTACTTTAAACCCCCATATCCTCACAACTACTGTAAAAATTCTAATTATTTCAAGTGGCCGATCATCAAGTCCATTTGATAAAATTACTCTTATTTTCGAATTCTGAGTTGAGTCCAAGGTATGAAGAAAAATAGCAGAAGGCGTATCATAGTATCATTGTCTTTTTACAAATTTGTTAATCTATGAGTTTGTGGAATAGTCTAGAGGGAAGAACTTACGACCGTTCTGATGGACCTGACCTTCTAAGGGCCAAGTGATGTTGACGGGAAGTGATGGTATGCCCAGTAAACATGGAGACGAAGTTCCTAGTAATCTTCATAGTCCGCTGCTGATAAAATGCTAGTTCCATTCATAATGATCACCTAAAAGAAATTGTAACGCTTGTCACTTTCACTAACTGCAAAATTTTGCCGTAGCTTTGGCCTTGATTTGTTACCAGATAATTAAAGCGGCAGGCACCTTTAACAATATGCCGCCATTTATAACCAGATTTAAATCCCAAAGTGGATTTAGTTGATTTCGAAAAACACTCGTGACTACATAAAGTGGTGACTATGGGAAACGCCCTTCTATGGGAAGCAGTTTTGAAGTTAATTCATTTAAAGAAATTAATGCAGCATCATTTATCACTCTTCCTCACCAGGAGTTCGACCAATTCCTGTCAAATAAAGGCCTGTAAATCCTTGTTCATTTAAGCTGAAAGCTCAGTGACACTGAGCAAGACCTATGAGAAGAGCGACTGGTTGGAGCCTCTGGTGATAGTGCTTCGAAAGCAGTTGATTGAGGGCACGGTGAAACCAACAGAGTCCGGAGGCAGCCTTCTGATGGCGAACATGTTTGTGCGAATCGTAACACCTAATGAGGCCACGGGTTCCACCTCTACAGCTGCGGACGCCTCACGCTCCGACGCGTGGATCTCCCGCGAGATCAAACACTGCGCGTTGCAGATTCTCGCCACTCTTCTTAATCCTTCCGCCTTCGGCTCAATGGAAAATAGTGGGTGTGGTGAGTTCGCGAAATGAGAACCCTTTAGTTGTAAAATCGCTGGCGACTGGTAACTAATTTCGGTCAGTTCTGCTTTGTTGGTCCACTTTTGCTGGTCCTATTCCAACGCTTAAAAATGAAGTGTGATTGGAACATTGCCACAAAAAATTGATGCAAACATCGTGAATGCAAATCGGACAAATGCCTCGAAGATTTACCTCTCTTAAAGCGCAACAAGTGTCAACTTTATAGCCTTAGCTTTGAATTGGCAATTGCATGTTGAGTAGCCGATCTCTTCGTTATCCAATGGTGACTGTAACTGAGACTCAACAATCACGGCAAAATGGTACCTTATTTCATTTGTTTCAATGGTACAGACACATAAATTAACTATTTTTTACCAGGCACAGCCAGACATAAAGAGCGCAAGTTGGACGAATGGTAAGATTACAGACTTTGACTTTATTACTCTGAATTATACCTGTGGCACTCAAAATTCTATGTTAAATGCTGCACCTCCTTTTCTTCCAAGAACAGTGGATGTGGGAAAGAAAACAAGCTGGCATATAGTTTGAAAACGAAGGTAGCTTAGACATTCTCATGAAACCTCTCAGTTGCCATATATTCGCTGAGATCGTAAATTAGAGACCGAAATGGGTGAATTTACCTACTCTCGAAATTCAAGTCTAAATTATCCTTCGATTGGTGAGGAATCGGAAGGGATTCAAAACCGAAGTAATTGTCGCATTTGATATATGACAACTTCACGGCAGTGCTTGATTGTCCGTCAAGGCTTTGATATGTTGCCGCAATTAACCCTCTAAGCTCTCCCGGAGGGTGATAGGGCAATATTTCCTGAGCAGCATAGGTACTGCTGATGGAAGGGAGAAGTAGAGGTCACTTCCACGGTCCGAAGGCCAGACCACGTGGTGGAGACACAACGGCTTAGCTCCTATGCGGCTTAATACCAAAATTAAGGGCTAAGCAAACAACTAAGGTAATATATAGCCTGTTTTTCATAAGCTTTGTCCTCGACGTTGTCCTACAAGCCTACAAGCGGCCATTCCGGAGGATGTCAAGCTGCACCTTCACTAATCACCCTTGGCAATTTTATTAAAGCTCAATTTTCTTTGTGAACGGGAACAATTTAGTGTTAGTCATCATGCAAGAACACTTACCAAAGATAGAGTCGTTTAGTAGGGGGTAGGGTTTAAACACCTTTTCATGGATTGGATTTTGCTTTTATTGCACCTCGTTATTCGATTCTCACTTCAATGTTGTTTGGTTGGTAGGCATTCATGCTCACACCAGTGTAACTTCATTCGAATGCCGCTAACAGTTCTGTAACAAATTTTTGTTTTTCCATGGAACGTGGTGATTCCGAAAATTGACGTCATTTTAAGCCTTCCGTTAGGTGTCGTTACACTTTCCCACTCACTGCACAAGTACTTACACCACATCCAAAGTTTACCATCTAGTGGAGCAAATGAGGATATTTATCATTTAGAATAGAACTTGCCTTCTGCCACCGCCTATATAGCACCTCTGGACTTCAAATGGTGTGGGAGAGGTGCTTGGTTCACTGGCATGGCCCAAAGACCAGCCACCAAATAGATTTGTAGTTGCGGAGCTCTGAAGCAACCCATTACCGAAACCAAAAGTTACCTTGATGACTAAGCTATGGTTTTAATTAATTTTTATCTAATATATTTTTTGCCTAGCGCGAATGTTAATTTGTTTATTGCTGTTCGTTGTCTGGTCCTAGGGAGCCATAATCCCAACGTGTTCTACTGCTTCATTTCGAAAGTTTAAGCACTTTAGCATTCAGAATTTGGATAATTAGCGACATCCGAATGGATATCTAACAAAAACTTATTTGACTGTAAATAACAGAATGTGATCCACTTTTGCTTGAGAGAACCAATCAACGCAATAAATTCCATACTAATTTTTGCTTACGTTTTACTCCCCTGCTTCGCACAGATTCTCGAGCCTCGAGTTTCTCCTCCAGCTGTAGTTCGCTTCCCACGCTAATGCAGCCTGAGTTTGCTCCAAAGTTGCTTTCAGTGTTAATGGATACAGCGTTGGCTAGTGCCACGCAGACCTCAGATCAGCAAGGAGGCAATTTTGTCCCCAGCGGCATTGGCGCCGCAGGCAACGGCGGCGGTAGAAGCGGAGAAGGTGGAGTATCAGCCGATGGTTGCAGAAGCCAACGTCGACGTGGTCTTTTGCCAGTAGTTGAGAGTCACGCTGGTGTGGCAAACGCCCTTGATCCTCTGACTAGCTCCACATCCTTTGCGCTCACCTGTCAGGACGTTGAGGTTTGTGTTCATTCCTTTTTTATATGAACTCTTCTTAAACATGCGTCACATGACGGATTCCAGCCACGTTTTGAACCATTCGGCTGCGACATTTTTGGGGCAGTTTGTTTTGTGTTTCAGGTACACCAGTCTCACATCTCAAAACTCTGAAGTTCACCATAAAATTGTACTTCTAATGATAGTAGATTCGCCTGTGTGCAGTTACTCTACATCCAAAACTAGCAGCCGTATGGCACATTCTGGAAGGTTTACAACGATTCGCTTCTATGGGACGACTGCTGACCAATACTTTCTACTTTCATTACTGAATGGGACAGCGAGTGTAATACTTACAAACCGTCGGCACACTAGTGTTGTAAAGGCATGAGGTATCTCCGAAAAAAACGCTCTTTTTACCTACACAGAGGTGATTCTCTTTTGTGCTTCAACCTGAGTTACCAACGGGGTTGTGTCTGCAAAAACAGCTGGGTAAAATGTTAGGAGACTGTTTTTCCCTTCATTTTCACATTCGGTAATCTTATAAGCTAAGTAATCCCATCCACATATGCCTCTCAGTTAAAACAGGGATGTGCTAAAGCACGGGTGCCTACTTAATGTGACTTGGCTAACTCTGTGGTCAAATGGAATAATGACCACAGTGAGGGTGTAGAAAAGAACCGCAAATATCGAGATTGTAGATTTTCAATCTGCAACGATTGAAAATGTCAATTATCATTATCGGTGTCTTTAGATCGCCGTTCAGAGCACCCGACTGATGTGCCAGTGTGTCTTCACCTACTCATCTCAGCTTATGAGTGCTTTTCTTGAGATACCAGACCTCAAGAGTTCGCTCATTCGTCTCCTTCTTTATTCACCCTCTCTCAGGTAATTCCATTTATCCGTTCGCCGTCCCGATTATGGAAGTTTTAAACCAAAGGGACTTAGAATTGATGTTTGGTACTCTTTTTATAAATTGTAGATATCTACAAAAGCAAAACTCCTCTTTATTTTATAAATGCATCATTTATGACCCACGGATTCATCGGTTCAGATCAAATTTATCTTTTATGGCATAGGCAAAGGCTATTCAACGGAGTGATTTATGGCATCCTGTTTAAGTTAAGGCGGTCATTGTAGCGTGTAGGTGATGCCATCAGCAGTTGTCATTTAATCACGAAGATTTGATTCCAAACTGGACCTAGCAATGTGTGAATCCCTCGAGCTTCTGCTCTCTAAATCCGTCTTCCAATTTCTCCCTCATGCAGAATTCGTTCCGAGACCTGCTACCAATTGAAACAACTCCTCTACGATTCTGCTGGTCAGCACCATCACTCAACAAACCCTATTCTTGGTGTGGAGCCCTGTTGTCACCTTCTAGCCTGGGAGACTTCTCACTCCTCTCAGCCTCCACCTTACACCTTTGAACCAATCACTCTCCAGCATGTCAGAACTAGTCCATACATCGATCTGCTTCTTGATCTGTTTTTCAAAACCCCATTGGATACTGCAAAGGGTACCTCCTCCAAACCCCTTCTTCCTCCCTTTTGGACAACCCAACTCAACACTTTAACAGATGCCGAAGAAAGGCAGGCAATAATGCACTGTGGAGAGTTCTTCAGACTGCGGGGTCGGCTTTTTGCAATGGTGGAAAAGAGCTGCCTCGAACATTATGCAGGACAGGATCACGTGAACATCTTTGAGGTGTGTGTGTGTGTTTGTGTGAGTGTGTGTGCAAATTTTGCAGAAGAAGCCAATTAGCGGGAAGATCCCGAACACCTTGAAGCTCACGTGTTTCTATTCCTAGCTTGAAAATAGACTGGCAGTATACCACATAGTGGCTGGAAAAGTTGGATGCCTCTTGGAGTTTTGCGATATTCCTTTATAAAATTGGGCTTAGACCTTCTGTTGTACTATTTTGTGAAGAGGAAAGTGTAAGAAATACGGAGGATATTTATGTATTATAATGAGCAGTTCAAACAACTTTGTTGGTAGTCCCAGTGTATTCGTCAAATCAAACTTTGAAACTCGGCAATTTGGTTACCAAGCGGCTAGGTAATTGGGGTGTTTTCGACTTGCATTTCCTCTTCCAATTTAATTTTGCTAATTAGTCTTCCACGGAAAACCTCCTTCTTGAAAGGGTTGTTTTTATCGTACCTGCCTAACTTCATTCATACTTACGTATCATAATGTGTGTTTTCGTTTTTGAGGTATTTTTGGTATTTTAGTACTTTAACTTGTCCCTAAAGCCAATGAATTCACAACACTGAGACAGAAAATGTTCTGTCCACTTACGTAAAGAGCTTGGCGATCACTGACTTAGGCCAGCCGTCATGAAACCGCTGACAGTACGGGGGTGGATCCTTAAGTGTTCCAAACCATTTAAGTGTTTTTCGGAAAAAAAAGACTTGTAATACGCTGCTTTTCTTACTGCCGGTTTCGTTCGCTATTACGTAGATGGCCATATTGCCTCAGTCGGGTAGGCTGGTTTCTAAGGTATGCCAATAGCCCCTGACCTCTTCTAGCAGCTGAACATATGTATCTTTTTCGGTTTTATGCCCTCTGTTATTATGGAGGCTACACGAGCTTTATTTTTTGTATTTGCAAGTGGTTTTGAGATTGTTAACTACAAAACCATTGCTCTAGCTTTTTATTTTACAGCTGAAGTACATGGGTAAGTGTGGGATTAGTTTTACTTTCTTTAGCTCTCCTTCTAGATGACTTGCGTACTTTGTCAGTTCAACTTTGAGAATGCGTCCGAAACGGCTCGCAACAATCACTTATGATGTCATTAGTTAATGTATTCTGGCCACATCCGAGAGTGCAACGGTGAGAATGCTCTCCTAAAATGCCTTCTGGAATTTACTCTTATGGCGTTACAGTTAAAAGGGGAACAGGGTTGTCACTACTCATGATTTAGCCATGCCCATATTTCATCGGTCACCAGTCACTCGTTATCACCTTAATCACAATTTATGTGTTTGGTGGTGAGAAAAAAAGTGATGAGATGAGACAACTCTAGTTTCTCATGGCGCCGAGAGCTACTACCGCAGTGTCTCATTAATAGCAATACTATCCAAAGAGGCTCATTGGAAACCTTATTATCACAAAACCTGGCAATGATTGTGGCAATTACTCTAACTGGTGGTCACAACACATTCACGTTCCTGACCACTGGTTCATTTTAAAAGAAGGTGCGTCATCGGACCTCTAAGTGCGGAGTAGTGAGGTGGCATTACTTTCCTTTGTCCTCCTTCAGAGCGAGATTCAATGGTTTCGGAGCTTTGCTCAAGTCCATCCTCGGGCCTCGTCGTGGGGTGACGGTCTGCTTCCAAGTTTAGACGGCAGCCTGATCAACGGTCACCTGTGCTTCCTGCGCACAGCCTGCATACAAATGGTTGCCATGGCGATAGCTCGAGCCACCAGCGTATCGCGCACCGTAGGCGCGGGTTGTGCAGCTCCCTCCGGCCGCTCCGCCCCGCTCTCCACCTCGGCTTCGTGGGAGGGTGGGAGCGGCGGGGGCTGTCGCAGTAGCGGTGGTTGTATGGGCCTCTCACCTCCTCCTTTTCTACTGGCTGGCGGTAAAAAGGGCAAGGTACACTGATGGATCATTATTGCCCCACTTTTATAACGCTCTCTTTCTCTAAATAGTTTCGCCTTCATGATGTTAAGCCTTATCATTTCGATTTTGTTTTTGATACTTCAATTCACACATTTTTTATTGATGTAATGTGTTACTGACGCACAGAAGCGCTAGCAAGAGACTACTTGCATAGTCATTGTGCTATTCCTCCCAGAGTAAGTGCAGAAATTGAGCCTATAGACCAGAGTAAGAGGGTAAGCAAACAATTCAGAAGTTACATTTCCCTTAGGATTCTCTTCGATTAATCACCACGTTGGTCGCTGCAAGCTAAATGCACTGTAAATTAGTCATTTTTTAGAGTTTTATTAAATCTGCAGTTCCTTCCTGTTTAGCAGCGACTTTGAAGGAAAGAACAATGTGTTGCTCATCTTGTATTTCCATCTGTGGTCATGAAACATTTATTCAAGGCCATAGTTATTCAACAAAAGATGGAATTTAAGCGAATATGTGGAGGTAATGGTTCGTGTCTATTCCTCCTTGTCACTTTTTCAACTTCAACCCAGCCATATCAATCCGGATTTCACCCACTTAGTAGAGGAATGGGAAGGTCTGTGTAATTGGCATCCCCATCCAAGTACCACTGTCAACTTCACAGCAAACTTTCCGTACGGTTTACACTTAGCGCCGCTGGCTCCGATTTGGTAACAACATTACCGCAGACGCTATAACTGGGTAGGTTTTGGTGATCGACGACGTTTTCGGTCCTTTCGTCATGAGCAGTTGTTGATTCTCCCATATGCAGCATATCTCCTTAATTTTTAACACTCGGGCATGGAAATCAGTGTAGCTGCCACCACTAAAGCGCTCTGAGACTTCCCCAAGGGCTATATTGAACTGTTTAATCAGGGAAATCGGAGTTTTCACGAAACATGCGTGTGATGATAATCAGTAAACAACCAAACTTGGTAGCGTACGCGAAAAAACTAACTTTTCATCACATTGAAGACCACAAGGGTAAGGGATGTTTGTTCAACCCCTAAACACTTACAAGAAGAGTGGAAAACATTTCCTTCAAACTCTATTCGTTTTTTAACTTCAATAGCTCAAAAGCATTCACCTTTTTAAGTAATCAACCATATCATTACATGTAAAGTGGTAGTAAGTTTAGAAGTATGGGTTTATTTGGCCTATTTTTACATTAATCAATCAGTGACCGCTTGAGGTGATGTTTTGTTAACTCTTCAATTAGGCGTCAGATTGCGGAAGCAAAAGAAGTCATAGTTTCTATTCGTGTTAGGCCAGTGTAGGAGAAGGAGCTCCCTTTTTTCTCTACAAGTAAATTGCTCGCCTCAAAAGTCCAATAACAGAGAATGCAACTTCCTGGCATTTATAGGCCTATTGAGTCTGTTGGCCTAGTCTCTTGGGGCAGAAACAAAGATCGCCTCCTCCCTATTCATAAAGTCTCATTTGGACCCCACTTCTAAAGAAATGACGTGTCACTCAACTCTTTTCTCTCAAATGAAAAAGACTGGTGATTTCCAAGTATTTTTGTGCCTAGGATAATCTTGCTTCGGACTTCGAAGCTACCTCAGCGAAGAAAAGCCACCAGAATGTACTTCAGTCTACCATCTGTCATCCCTTACCATCTAACCCCGTCGATTCAAAGCTGGCAACGCTAGTAACCAGTTGCATCCGGCTGATGGGGAACCTCGTGCCTACTCTACTCACCGACTATATGTTCCCTGTGGCAAACACTATGAACGAGGAGTATCACTCCCTGCCTTCAGGTGACCCAGAGATCCATCGTATGCATGGAAACTCTTTGCTTCAACCACCTCCAAAACGTCTCAACGGAACCGCTCGTCAAGAGGCGTTTATGCTTATCCTTTTCCTTGCACGCATGGATTTCCAAAGCCTTGAACGAGTAATGCATTTGAAACTATCTAATATTAATTACTCCTTCCAATGCCTCACTGAATGGGGTTGTTCTTTGTAGACTGTCAATATTCTAGTTCGTCTGCATCATCAAAGCCCACCGGAAGAACAATTGCAAACAAATCATACACCGAATTCCTCGATGAGTTTGCCTACCGCCTCAAATCTAGGCGATTCAGGAGGCCTCACTTTTGAAGCTGACGTGAATATCGCTCCGACTGCATCCATTATGTGGGACTACCGTCCCTCCCTTTTAGGTCGTGCCGCCTGCAATTTCACGGGTCTTCGGAATGCGGGAGCCACTTGCTACATGAATGCTGTACTTCAGCAGCTTTTTATGCAGCCTGGTGTAGCAGAAGGCATTTTGGATGTGCCGACATCGAAGTTGGATGAGAAGAGCCTGCTTTATCAAACTCAGGAGGTTCATTGTGTCTTAACTCTGGTAGAGTTTGTTATCGGCTCCCTAACAACTCCTCTGTTCCCGCATTTTAGCTCTTTCTGAATCTGCTTTTTTCACAACTTCAATTCTACGATCCAGTTGGGTTTTTGAAAACCTTCCGTCTTTGGAACACGGACACTCCCATAGATCCTCATGAACAGCAGGATGCATTCGATTTTTTCCAGTCTCTAATTGACCAGTTGGATGAAGGCATGACGGTAACAAATTTATGCACACATGATGAAAGGGAAATGCCAAATATGGATGGATTGTCGATTTGTCTGTGTTGCATAATTCAACGAAAGTATTTTTTTCACGAACAGACCCTGTTAAGGGTTTTGGGGACAAAAAAGTGTTCACCTGTTTCTCTAAGTATGGCAGTTAAAGGGCAAATAGTAGCATCATCACACTACAACATTTCTCAATCCACTGCCGTGGATCTCAGTCTGTATTTTGGTTATTATGTGGTTAAATTATTTTCCAAGTATCCTCTTTTTCTTTCCCATCTTACCATGTGAGATGTACTTCTCAAATGGATAGTCAAGGTTGGGAGTTTCCCTAGGAAGTCGCAAGAGTAATGGGAAAAACACTTTGTTTGGACGAAAGACCCACCCAAAGTTGCGTTTTTCTAGCCAACTTGTCTTCGAAAAGTGTATGCATGATTGATGTGTACTCTACAATACTGCTAAACTGGCTCCGTAGAGCTTAACGTTTGGTCATTTTCAACCTCCTAGAAATTCACTGATGTGCCATTTTTCTCCAAAATGTTCCACGGAATCCTGTCAGACACAATGTATTGTGAAGACTGTGGTCATCGGTAAGCTGACGGAACCTGTTTTATCACTCCTTTTACTCTGTTTGTATTGGTGCATTTATGAGAACATCGCAGTTTTGTCCTGTCAAAGCGCTTTTTTAAGGTAAATGGGGCCTTTGTTCGAAGGTTACCTCTTAATCACTCATTGGGAAGACTCCCAAGTCGGTGAAATGAGTTTTCGCACAACTATTGCTGGACATTGTCAAAAGTGCTTAACAGTCTTGCTGGTTGCTTTGCCTTCTTCCTGAACAAGCACTGAAATCCACAACTATGAACAGCATCTTTCCCTTGACCAGTGTCACTTCAAGCCTTGTTTACTTTCTGGGCTCACATTCCTTCAAAATGTGACAGTCCCAATTCTATGCCTTAGTGCGCATTTTATTCCCAATCTGCCCAATTAAAGACAGGGCTTAAGTCCTTCTGAAAACCGACTGTATCAGATAAATCTGCTGCTAATCTTCACCTCGAACTTTGTGATTGAGATCACTGCGATGAGCTGCCAATGAACAATTCATGTTGCCTATGACAATCCGCTATAACTCTTGACTTTTCAGTCAGTCAGACAATCTATCGGGATAGAATTCTAACTACACCTTTCGAAGTGCTTTTACTTCAACTCGTGTTTGAGTCAATTTGGGACTTTTGAATGTATGACTGTCTTAGAAGTTTTAGTGCCACCCAGACGATGCCTTTCTAGTGAAGAGATGAGCTGTTCGTCAGATGTTGCATTTTAAGCTTAATGTATGTGTTAGGAAAATTGGTGGTTTTGGCCAAGTAGTGTGGGGTTCATCATCACTGTGTTCCACGTAGAATTGAATTAGAGGCTCGTTAAATCTAATTGTTCATAGTTATTTCAAAAAGCATGGGATACTTGTTTTCCCAAATGTATAATTTAGACACTGACAATGGCGCGCACTTTGGGGACTATGTTTAATGATCCATCATCAAATCCATTTGATTACTTTTAGGGAATAATGGCATTCCCTCTGTGACTTATTTTGGTGCTCACGAAGTATAAGTGGACTTGACGAGTGGATCTGTTCTCTCACTGGCACTTAGTAGTAAAGCGACGCCACCTGTAACACGTAATGAGTTCATCATGACATCTTCATTCCATTTTCCTTTGACTATCACAGCTTGCTAGAGGTGACCACACGCACCCGTTACCTTATGACACAACAGGATTGATTCGTGCTTTTCCCCATACTTGCAGCTACGACCGAGAGCAGTCATTCTCGGCTATCAACTTAACCGTCTGTACGGCGGATTTATTAGAGGCCATGCGTCAGTACACGCGAGAGGAGGTTATGGAGGGCGACAACGCCTACTTCTGCGAACGCTGTCAAATGAAACAGCGCACATTGAAGCGTCTCACCTTCAGCAGCCTCCCGCCAGTGCTCTGCCTCCAACTCAAACGATTCGGCTTCGACTGGGAACGACAGGTGGCAGTCAAGTCAAATCAAGCCTTCTCCTTCCCTCGACGACTCGATATGACTCCTTTCATGGGTGATAATGCTGTTCAAGTTAGTAGCCATGCAAGTATTTTTGCTTCGAAATTGACTTCTCGATACTTTTCTTCTGAAAATATCCAACTGTGAAGTTATCATTAATTTTTTCGGAGTGTTACTATTATATTGCTGTCTGCTTTAAAAGAAGATACTGCCAATCCAACCAGTAGTTGTTTTTCATTTGAAGGAAAACCCTTCATTGCGCCTCTCTGCTTTCAGTCCTCGTTTGGTGATTTGTGAACCGATTTTGTGCAAAAGACCAAGTAAATGACTAGCGAACTGCCGTTGACCTCTTATTGAAACTAAACTTAAATCCCGTAGTTTGGCATGCTTTTACCTCTTTGCCCCTTACCTTACTGTGGAACGATCTCAAATGCCTGCACCTCTTTCATCAGCATTTTGACGGGTTTATTTTTGGTTTTTGAAAGTTTGGACCATGCAAGGGTTTTGACAAGCGAGGAATTGAAAAGTGAGAACGAATTCGATGCCCATTTACTCATAGTACTCGGAACACGTTATCGTTTCACCTACCTTTTCACAGTATTTTGAACAGTGCAGTCTCAATAGAACTGTAACTGTGGCCAATCATTTTGTTCCGCATGAATTGTCTTATGTGCATTTGAAAAAGTGAATGGTTTCCGGTCAATCTCGGCCTTCATTTACATCCTTTCTGCAAATGGTGGGAAGGTTTCGAAGGGCCATTTGTGGCGTCTTTCACTAGCAGTGAACTAGGTTATGCCGGTCTTCTGCCGAACTTATGAGTTGCTTTAAACCTTGGAAGAGGCTTGCTAAACACTTACCCCAAAGTTCTCACAAGATGCGTTTAAAAATGTCCCAGTGGGGAGAAAATGAACTTCTGCTATGGTGCACGTATGGTATTGAGGGGCTGTGTACAAAAGTACAAGCCAAGAGGATTGAAGAACCCATGTAATTAAAAGTGCAGGTGAAGTGTATCAGGTCAATAAACCACATGATGATGGCCTTGACGATGGCTTCGAATTTTTGTCCAGCCTACCTTCATTGTCTTTAGACTGCCATAGGGAAACAGACAATATGTTTTGGTATGGCTTTTCTGTTTTAAGTTCGTCTGTTGTTTAAACCACATCAATGGTCGACTATTTAACTGTGAATGGCTTATCAGAAATATGACTCCACATTTTTGGTCGTTCTGACGCGTATGTCATAGTTTAGCGCGTTTAGGAAGATCAGTCCGAGGTTTTTGTATTACTCGCCCCATCGAGAAACCTCAAAGACGGAGACTCCACCGGTGCTTGACGGAAATTTGTGCATTCTGCATTTACGCCTTTGCGCTACCCACTTTTAGATGCCTTCCGGTGTATCAATCCAGTCAAATGTGTCAGTCGACCTTGGGGGAAAAAGGAATTCACTGGATGTCCAACCTGATGCCTCTAAGAGAGGATTTCACTTATACGACCCAGAGGTAAATAGTAGCTTGCTTCATTTCCTTCTACCTCTGCAAAAAAGAGGTATTTTGTTTTTTTTTTTTGCATTTCACGCTATTTTGCTTCTTAAGGGATGCCATTTGGGTAAGTTGGGCACGATTTGTCAGACTTTGCTGCTGAGAGTTTTTTCTCAAATTTTGACAAAAAAACATCCTCTTTATGCCTTGCCTTATTAAAAAGGGTGGTTGTGGGTGGTAGCTTCAGAGCTTTAAAAAAGGCGAATTTGAAGACGATGAACTGTGCCTCACTTGAGTACGCTTAGAGTGCCCAAATGGAAGTAAGAAATGTAGCCCTCTTTTTTAGAAGAAAAGAGGTGTTTGAATACGGTGCCATGGAAAGGGAAGTAGTGTACCTCACCAAAAGACAGTCAATGAGCAATTGCATATTGAGACACACAAATTTGATAGCTATCATCTCCTAATCGTTATTTCCGTACATTTTATTAGGAATGCTGAAATTTTCGATGCTCTAAACTGCTTTTGCTTCCATTTTATCCAGATCATGAATTCCAGCAGAATGTTGATCTCAATAATTGCTGTGACACTTGTCTGATATTCTTGTTCTTAGTCTGTGTTGGAGAGGCACCAGATCGTAAGGTTTGTGGATGCGACCTGCTTTAATTTGTGTTTTACACCTCCGTCTCACTAGTGGTTACCTTGCTTCAGTAGCAAGCTACTAATCGCATCATAGTTTACTTACTAAATTTTCAGTTATCAGATTTTTTTAGCCTAATTCGAGTTCAATATTAATTACAGGAGGAGTATGCGGACGAGGAAGACCGCCACGGCTCAGCGTTGGCACCGTCGACAGAGACGGGACGCAACGAGCTTGCACCGCACCACCACCCCCGCTCGCATTCTGAGTCCATCGAAATTGCACCACCCAGCTACGTTTACGAGCTCTCAGGCATTGTCATCCATTCCGGCCAGGCGCATGCAGGCCACTACTACTCTTTCATTCGCGACCGAGGCCGAATGGAACAGTAGGTCCACTAGTTCGTCGACAAACCTAAACCCAACATGCGAATAGCTCATTTATTATTCATTTATTTCAATGTTTGTTTCCGCGGATAAATCATTTATCAAAATAACTTTTTTTAGAACTCACGTTTTTGAGCAAAAGAGATCACAGTCGATCTCGGGAGCTACCGGTCTTCCAGGCTTTGTTAATTCACAAAATCCTCTTCGCAATTTCCTCAGATGTAAGTTGATTGTGCAAACTGCACCTTATTTGACTGCAACTGGAGGTGATTTACTTGTCTCTCGGCTTTTGGCCAATTTGTGGTTTCTTTGTACTTGAACCTCACATTTCCGGAGCCACTTTTATTGCTGACCATGAATAAAGTGTGTATCCCATGCAGCGTAATTGGTAGGTGGAAAGACAAGGCCCTTCTAGTGCTCAACGGTGTTTTAGATGCTAACAATAACTTCCAATTCTGTATTGGCGACTCAGTAAATTTATCCCAACAGGCATCGAAGACGTGACATCATAGAATACAGGCTGAGATTTCCTGTCTGATTCTACCACCTTCCACTGCTACTAGGATTTGTCTTTCAAAGGACTTAATTGCCTATTTGGGGCACTTTTGGTAATAGACATTGGTAAATACCTGGTATCCCAGTTCACCTATTGGGACCATCAAAAGCTGTTCAGATTGGCAAAATTGTGAACCTTCTGAAAAGCTTCAAGTTATCCTACCTTTTGGCTGCCCAAGATTTTGCCTGTTTTTTTTTATTCTGGTGCAGCTGACACGCTGACACAGGGCACTGAAGACTACTCGGCATCTGCTGATGTTAACCCACCCGAACGGTGGTTGAAGTTCAACGACACCCACATCGAGGAGGTGGAAATGACTGATGAGTTTCTGCAACAGGAATGCTTCGGTGGAACTTACTTGGCTGAAGTCCCAGGTAGATTGGCAGTTCTTTTAGACTGCGTAAGCGTTTAACAGCTGCACAAATCCTCTCCAAGGCTTATTCTTAGGGCGAATTTAACAGAACTTTTGCTAATTTGACTACCTAAGGAAGGCGTTGTTAGTCTCAACAAAACTAAGTTGGAATGCTACAGCAAAAAAAATCGGCTGGATAAAATTTCTTATGCTCTTGAATGGCCCCTGTCTTCATGTATGAATTCCAATTACTCCCTCCTCACTTCTGAAAATAGGGATTAAAAACCAAAACAGGAGTAAGACAAATGAACCTTTAGCTTATAAAAATGCGAATCTTGAGGAAATTTGAGTTCCAATTTGTGTTTTATAGATTGTTTGTAAAAAATTATTCAGAAAAATATTTTAATTTGAAACTTTTGCCTTTTTTGTCCTTCTCATGGTAACTGCGCATAAAACAACTGTTGCAACCTATTTTGTAAAGCAGCAGAATTATTTGATTCTCAGAATTGATCACAACGCAAAGGCACACTTAGACGCCTTAAATAAACAGACCGAGATCACTAAAAACAAAGTCAAACCGGCGTTGCCGGTGGCTTACGGTTATGCCGTGCGCTGACTGTAACGCCCTCAAATGTGGACCTGAGTCGGATTAGAGCAAAATATCTTTTGCCGATTCACTTGGGAATTTAAGGATAAAACTTGGATGTGTCAGTCTCCTGTCTTGGCTATTATCTGCTCACATGCCACATTACGAGTGGAATGTCACGTCTTCGTATTAATTGTGTCGCACCCTCTTCACTTCGGCAACCAGGTTGCAGAGCTTAGAGTTGCGGATTTGAATAAAATTTGTACCGTTTTCTCTCACACTCAGCTTCGGTGGTGGTTTAACGAAGACAGAATGACACTTCCTTTACACTTGGATTACCTATTAAGAGATGCTTTTTTGGGAATGTAGGGCGGCCGCCGGAGAAGCGGACGCGCAATTACAGTGCATACCTCCTTTTCTACCAACGTGTATCGTCCAATGCGAGTGTTGGCGTGCAACCTGTTGACACCACTCGTTCGCGACGCACATCAGATTCCTCTGGAAAATTGCGACCAGTCAGTACCTTGAACATGCGTCGAAATAGGCACAGCTCACTTAGTGTCGAGAAGTCGCACTTCTTTTCCACATGTAAGTCTCCTTAACAGTGTGATAGGCTTACACGGGGAGCTCTTAGATATGATGTACAAATCACCTTGCCCATTACAATGGATAAATCCTAACAATAGGCGTAAAATTCTAGACCTCGATAGGATACAGTACCTTTAGGAGGACTATTCGTTTCATCAAAGCACCAAAGGTTTGAATAAGTTGTACTTTATAGTGGCAGGAACCATTGGTATGATCCAGAGACCATAAAGCCCAGTGAAACTTTAATTGTCCATCTTAACAAATGGGCGTTGCCCCCTACTCTTGGTCAATTTCCACGTCGGCGATACAAGAAAGCACTCACAGGGCGAACTCGTCGCTCATCAACCCTGTTTCCAGTTGAGTAAATATTTGACAACGTCTTTTTTATTTGGGCTCTGTTTGACTGGCAGTGTGGTGGAGAAAACATCGCTCGTTTACTTAACAGATATCTTAGAGACCTTCAAGAATAACGTTTGAAAGTGGTTTGTCTTGTTAGTAGCGTTTCTGGATTATATAGGAATTGGCGCAGCCGTCGGAGATTAAAGTAATTCTGCCACGTCACCATGTAGACATCGTCGGTAGAATTTAAGACGTTTGCCGTTTACGATCATATTCGCTTTGCATCTTCGCTACTGTTACCACTCCGAGTCTCCCCCAAAGACGGGAGGAGACATCATGTTAGAGCAGGAGCCGGAGGGCTACTAGCATTCTCTCAGGCGTTTTACCACCTCTCCCCTCCCGGGAGTGGAGCCTTTTTTAGTCTTTAAACTAAAACGAACAGCTAAACAAGCGATCCAAGCATTGAATTTTGTCGAATCTCATTGCAGTACCAACCAAAATCCGTGTTATTTTTAGGTTTTTTGGTTAATGCAAAGTGTGCATATGTATTGGACTTCTTCCTTCCCTTTTTAGCCTTTGTTTAAAATAGTTAGGTAGAGATTTTGTTTGTGAAATTCTCCTCGCATTCTTTTTTTTTCACCTTCTTCCCAAGTAATTTGATTACATCGCAAAGCAAATTAATTTCGATCAACCTCTGGTTCATTTCTCCACGTTCACTTCTTTGTCCACGTTATGATTGAGAGGAATGAAATGGAAATGTGTTTTTTTTTTGCTGTGCTACACTTGCTGCGATTCTACTGCCTCCTACGGAAATGGCTTGCCTTAACCATTTCCTTCGTAGAATGCTAACCTCAGCCAATCATTTTGTATGTTGCGTAATATAATGCTATGCATCTTTTAAATATTTATGAATTTCTAAAATCTGTCCTGCAGTGTTTTGGAAAAGTTGTATAACGATTTGAAACAGTCATACCAGTTGTTCACAAACTTATGTTTGAGTCTCATGCATTTGATTTCATGTACCAGAGCATGTCGTCTATCGTATTTGATTTCTTGAAGAGAAATATTTGAGAAAGGGTTTTTCTGACCTATTGTGCTAGTCAGAACTCTAGAAGGCCTTTTTTTAGGCCAAAATATTATGCTTCATAAGGAACTTTTCACAGGATAGGTAATATTGGCCCAATTTGACCTGATCAAATGTCTACGATAGCAATCACACTTCTCAATCGGTACCAATATCGTGTCCAAAAGTAAAAGGAATCCTACCCAACAATCTACAAGTCTTTGTTATTTATTTTTAAGTTGACGAAGGACGCTTCTACAAACCCAGGTTTTCAGTGGACGAAGCACGAGGTAGTCGTCGCTCTATACCGTTCTCTCGTCTCCCATTTACTGGATCTTCAGCAAGTACAGCTTCCGCTACCCGTCAACAGCGGCTCTCTCTGGCCCTCACTTCCAGTCTCCTCAGAGTTTCGCCATTGGCGGGCACTCAGCCTTCTTCCACCTGCCTCGTTGGTCTAACCGCCTCTGTAGGCAGCAGTGGAATTGGAATTGGCGTTCGTCACGAATCCTGGAATGGAGAAACCGTGCCACGTGAAGCGTCAGCAAGCGACTCGGCAACGGCAGAGCAACCCACATCAAATAAAGCGACTGCCAGCTCACCTGCGGACGAAATGCTTCACCGCATCAGGCGGCGCAACCTCGCTTTCCTACGAGACCAGAGTATCTTCTCGCCAGACTATGCCAATTTCGTTTATAACCTTGCTCAGGGCGTATTGGTGAGTGTTTAGCCCCTTTTAAAAAGTAGCCGTTTGTAGCATGTAAAGTTAAAGATTAGGCTCTTACACTTTCTTGCAACTCAATCACAATATAATATTATTTCAGGAAGTCAACAAATAATTACGAGCTCCACTGTCTCTTATCAATGGAGGATCTAAATGCTACTGTACTATGAAATATTCATTGAAAAAATTAGTAGCAATCAAGTGCTTTTGGGCCCGTTTTATATGAAGGCGGACACTACAGCGCTGCAGTTTGAGCCGGGTCGCGCAGTGCTGGGTTGTCAGCTAGTAGCGAATTTCCTCTTCACCACCTACCTCCCTCTGCACGCCTCGGTGAAGGTGTCAATCTCACCGGACCTTTGTAAGCGCCTCTTGGGATTGTGTGCGCCTCCGCCACGAAATGGCAGAGAGACTCATCCTCACCAGACTTCAGCCTCCGAACAGGCCAGTCTACAAGAGGCTGGCGCCAAACTTGACACTCATTGGATGGAGATGCTGCTCTCTCTTATGACGACTAATGCTCAGACTATCTCATGGTCCCTTGGTTTCCTCGTTCGTTCACCAACAAGACCCATGCTGTAGGTTCACTTTAAATCGGTCACTTCAAATACAAGGTACTCATTTTATTTGAGTAGTCGATCACAGTGGCTCTTTAAATACTTTATTTGATTTTTTTGGCCCATCTTTGTTAGCTCCGATGTAAGTATTTGCTGAAACGTCTCATTCGCTTATGTGTTATTGGTTGCTAGATGTGAAAACTATGTTTCTTGCCTTTGTAGTAATTATATGTTGGCTTGCCCGAAACCACTTCTTCGTCATCAGACAGCTCGGGTTGTTGGAGTCGTTCTGAGCACCTTCTACGCCTCAAAGGATGCAAGCATTGTAAGTTTTCTCCCGTTAAGTTTCATGCTAATTGTCACTTCAGTCCTTAAGCTACCACTCCTGAAGTATTTAAATGATTGTTAGACCTTACTTATCATGAAGGAAGAATCTGTTTTCTGGCCCATATTTCTAGAGTTTGGCCTTTAATCTCTATTGAGTGATAGGCGGTAATGGATGCTTGAGAATGTTTGATCGAAGGATCACTAACCAAATAAATATGGAATAAATTAAGCTCTTTGCAATTGTTTTCTTGGTAAGCGTGTCGACAGAAAAATGAAAATTTCAGTCCACCCTATCACAATCCTACCATTTTCCTCTTTTACAGACTCTCTGTATGAGGCCTTTTTCAGTATTTTTATGTAGATTTTATCAATTATTTCGTAAGTGCCTGTGATAATTCATCCACTGCTCCATTACTGACTGGTCTGTTCGATAGACTCTTGCTCTTCAAAACCGTTGTGTGGAAGCCTTCCCCTTATTGGATGGGAAAGCAGGAGAAAATTCCTTATAGTTTGAGTTTTGGTTTAACTTTGGTAGTTTTGCAGATCCAAATGTCAAATGCTCAAAAAAAATTTGTTTTTTTTTTAACTCACTTCTTATGCTCACTGTTTGTTGATGCTCATTTGATGTGATTAATCTTTTGTAAAGTGGATTTCAGCACTGCACTTGAGAAGATCTGATTGATTCTGTCAAAAGTATTGTCCAACTATTTTCCTTCCTCCTTCCTGGTTTTAACTAAACCCTCTCAGCTGGATTCACTCCTCTGTCTTAACTCTAATAATGTTTTCTCGGGGATTGCGGCTTTTATGTCAAAAATAGCCGTAAGTAGCACGACTACGACGTTCGTATGTTCTTCCCCAACTTCGAGGACCATAACCGTGTAAGAAGTTGGCCGAGAAGGAATGTGGTCGGTGCGAAACTATAGCCGTCTAGTTTACAATGAAGAGGTAACACCCAAATGGCAGGGCATATTGAAACCAATGCTTCGGCTTCAGAGGGAAGATGTTTAAGCGGTTAATTTGTTGTGTGCTTTACTTGCATTCTAAGGTTTCCCGGAATTCTCATTCCTTACATGAATTACGGGGGGTCATCCTAAGGCCATTTCACAGTTACACTAATCCGGTGGTTGTAGTTACTAAAGTACACATAGTGGTTTAAAAAGCACCGAAAGCAAAATCGTGCAAATGGAAGTTTACGTTTCGTGAGATGCTTTGCTCCACATTGCTGGGACTATGATTTACATTGTGTAGGAGGTTGAAATCACTTGGAGGTATTTTGTCTTTCTCTCGCTTTTTAGTGAGGCTTTAGTCTGCAGAACCGTGTAGATAGTCAAATATTTGTTTTTTTTTTGTTTTGAAAAGAGTCATTTTGGTAGCACCACTGCATTTACCAACTAACAACTAGTAATGTTTTTTGGAATTTAATGTAGTTGTTTATTTCAGCGTTTAAAATGCGAATTTGTTTGAACTTTTGAACCCACCCACGTGTAATAGCTACTGATAGTTGTTAATCTATCGCATTGCAGTTGATTGAAAGGATCCGTTTACGCCTGCATGATGTACTGATAGCATCGAAAATTCTGGAAGGCGATGATGTGGTACACCTGATTTGTGAAAAAACGTGGAGTCATGGGCTCATAACTGTGAAATGTATCAAATGTGGAGGTTTGATAGCTTCGAGCTACATGAAATTGCGTTCTTCCGTGACAGTGCCACCCTCTCAACGACCCTTTGGAGTGATTAAACTGTTCCCTTTTCTACTTTTTCAATTGCATGCCCAGCTCCCACCATTTTGTGCGTTCGCCCGGCGTTAGTGATGCTGCGGTCCCCATCGCACAGCCACTGGGATGTCAGTGTGGCCATGAGCTTTGCTTGCTGGAAAGTACGAAGTGGTACCTAAAAGTGCCACTTTTCTGCCTCCGTGCCCACCTTACGGCTAAGCAATGAAGTTGTTTTGCACTAGCTATGCGGTTAAAGAGGAATGGAAGCCGTCTAGTGAAAGTACACTTTTGTTTCTGGGGCAAAATCATATTAAGCCATACCACTTGTTTTATTCTCAGTTCATTTTTGAGTAAAGCATGTTCCAACAGCAAAGCGTCATTGAATGTAGAGTTTTGTGGATTCTCAAAAGCGGGATAAAAGAAAATGCAAAGCATAAACTCGAGAAAACTCAATTGTTTTGACAGTTTAAAAATTAAATTTTTTTGGGTGAATGGAGAGTTAAAAAGCACTTGAAACTGCCAGTAAATGGTTCCATTAAACTTTGAAGGCATGGAAACACTGTCACTGAACCCAACTTTGCAGCCTCGTTTGAATCTCTTAACATTTTACCACACAATATGCATTATATGTATTTTAAATTCTCAATGTCACATTTTAATACGTCACAGTGCACTGCACTACCTTTGTATGTATGTGGGACTTCAAGTTTTGTGTTTGAGTTTGAACGTCGTGAATACTTGACAAGCGCTCTTCGTCCCTTTATGGTGGCTGGGTGCACTGAATCGTGTACTTTAAACTGATTAGAAAGGATTGGAATACTTGAAATAGATGCTGGATGCTGTGATGATGAAAAAAAGCCTGTTTATTGTTTTTTTAACCACATGAAGTGGTCGATTTCCCCCTGAAAGAACTGGATGTCTCTACATGCTTAAAGCCTTTTTGCTAGACAAAAGATTATATCATCACACAACCCATACAGTACCTCATTAAAAGCATGCTTCACTGGCTTCTGATTTGCTACCCTCTAGCTTGATGTATCGCTCAACATCCTGGTGGATTACTTGCTCGACTTGCTCCCGTTGGAGGTGCCTCAATACGCCCAGCACTGCGCCTCATACTTTGGTCTTCTGTTGGGCTACGTAGAAACCTGTCCCCATGCCAGCGTTCATCTGAGTAATCGTAGTGGCACTCGACGTTTGTTGAGTTTCCTCGTGGGGGAGGATGCCGATCGTGAGGAGACGCTATCAATTGATACAGGGGCTCTCTCGCCGCCCCTGTCTGTGCCTAGCCGGAACGTTTCCTTTGTTGTGCCTTCTATTGTTACGCCTCAGAAAGATGCTGGTTTCCCTACTTGGGTACGTTCCTTTGTCAACCTCTTACATTTTGCGCCCTTTCTCAGTAGCTGCTTCAATGAGCTCACGTGATCGGTGATGAGATCTTATTTTGAAATCTCAGAGAACCGAAAAAGATGACAAAGGCAAGTAACAGTAGTGTTTTTGTATTACCATCAGTGCTTTTCATTAGACAAAGTCAAGGCAGTTGTGCACGAGCAAGACGATGTACTGCTCCTAATGTTTGAGGTTTTTAGCTAAAAATGTGGGTAAGATAACGCTTCAATAGACACATTCGTCATGGTATGAAATTCTGGGTCCATGTGTTGGACAAAGCGATCGACGGATGCATGATTTCCAGCTTTTTACGTCTTTTACTCGATTTTGCCTTAAAGTTAAACAATTCCGTAACTTACCACGCTCCACCTTGTGTCTTACTATCGAGGCATTCCATCAAGGTGAATAGTTGTTCAAAACGTGTACTTCACCTTCGAAGAAGGTTATGCAAATTCCCTGACAACTTTTTCTTCTTTCAAGGACAAAACACTAAACTTTTTGTAGGCTTGGAACTAGTAGCCTTTTTTCGTCAATAAGCCAATCTCTCCTCTCCGTTGCAGTGGGTGTTTAAAGGCAGGTCGAGCGTTGGAGTTAAGTACGAAGGATAGTGTAAAGTATAAATTTATTCGTAACATTTCTGCGGTGGAGACTTTGATAGAATATTTGTAGCATTCCCAAGATTCCTTAAAGGTGAAAGAAGTCATGACGCGAGGAAAGAATATTAATCGACAAAAAGGCAGGATTGAGAGCTGTTGGAAACTCCTGAACGTCATACTATTCAGTGGAACTATAAAAGCGGGGCTCTAAAACTCATTGAAAGCAGAACACATGGAAGCCAGCCAAAGTTTATGTAAATTCTCTCTCTTTTTGAGCGTTGCCCCTTGGTCTGCTGTCCTCGTTACCCATCGCAATACTCATGCTTTAAGATAATCACTCTCAAACCAGTTATCCAAATTGTTGGGTTCGAGTGGACCTGAGGTGCATCACCGCAAGTCCATTACCTCCTCTTGGCCATTCAACTGAGTATGAAGTTTCGACTTCTGTGGGAATAGCATTTAAGGGAAACGAATTTAGAAGGAATCTCACATGTATAACGTTAGTTCTATGAACATTATCGAAACCATAGAATCGTCTGGTGGAAGGCAGGAGTCAAAGTAGTATTGTTTGGGTAGGATTTTGCTTCTGTTCCTCCCTTGCACTGTCACCATTTACTGGTGCCGAAACATATGTCCATTTGGCTTCCCCCCAATAAGTGGAGCTGGAAAGAAAATGCTGCGTGTTCACCTAGTTGATATCTTCAAGCGTTTTTTTTTTAAATGTCACTTCCACTCCTGGTCAGCAATAGATGACCTTCTTCCGATGCGCCTGCATGCATCGTCTAGCAGTAGAAATCCTGAGGGATGTCTCTCAACATAGGAGATCTCTCCAAGGCCGAAAGGAGACAGAATACACGGTTTTGTTGTGCAATAGGGCAGTAATGCTGAATCCGGGGCCTTAGGGAGCCTTGCAATTCGACGAAGGCATATGGCCTACTGCATACTTCATAAGTAATCCTATCTTCCAACAATTATTTGCTTACTTCCTCTAAAGAAAACTTTGGACAGTTAGAATGGGATTATTTTAGCACCACCTTTTCTTTCTTGGTATGTTCAACTCACACTCCATTAGTTTGATCAGATTGTGTGAAAAATCTACAAACCAAGCATCAACTGGAGACGCGTCCACTTAATAAAAAAAAAACAGGGCAATCCTGAACAATGTAGATGGACGCCATGTTGCATTTTGATTTAACGAGCCTTTAATAAAGCTTGTGATGAAATGCAAAGATGCCTTATATGAGCAATTTACTGTTTATTTCTAGGCTTTTTAAGCGGTGATTTTTGTGCCAAATCTTTGCTTCGAAGGAATTTGCGTGCATGACGCGCGAAGCAACGAGTGAGGAAGATAGGGTTTTACGTTAGACAGGAAAGCAAAAAAAAAACATCACAGACCATTTTCTTTCCAAAACAGTCAATTTAGTCGTTCACTCTGATTGTACAAAGTGGAACAGGTTGGGGTCAAAGTTGCTCTCATTAGCAATTTTTGTTGACAGTTATTTCAGTTCACAACAATCCACTGTCCGAACGATGACATAACATTTCACTGCTCTCATTTGCTTTAATTTACTATAGGCAAGTCTTTTACGCAACTGGACTGCTAGTCAGAGCAAGGAGTTGGGTAACTACTACCTCCTCCTTGCCCATATGCTTCTTCAGTCGAATTTTGACCAGTTCCGCAATCACCGTAAGTTCTCCACTTGGCATTACTTCCATTAATGGCGATGGTGTTTGGAAGCATTGCATCACAGTCCATACAAGCAAATCTATCATCCCCTTAAAACGAGTTTAAAAAAACACTGTGACATACGTACGCCTTTAAATGCCAACTGATCGTCCAGAAATTTCCCCTGAGCAAATTTTTTTGTCTCCCCGGAGAAAAGGACCATATCCCAATGTACAAAAAGCATTTAGCTGGGGAGTGCAATTCCGGTAAATTCCACCCTTTACGCACAGAGGACGAGTGATCTTTTCATGCGGATAGGCTACACTTGACACAGGTCGGTTTTGTTTACTCTTTGATAATTGCAAAGTTTTCACTCGATTTTTTACAACCGAGCGGACTGCCTCAGGCCACTTTATTTATGAAGAGCTGGTTACATCAAAGGTAGGCATTCGTTTAAAACCAATAAATATCGAAACCATGTTGGATATCTACCGGGAGCCGACAGCCAGCACATTAAGAGGCAAATGGCATGAAAGAGATTGAGGTGCTGTGCATTACAAAAATTATTTTATATTTATATTATATTTCTTTGCATCTTGTTGAAATTTTGCTCCAACTCTGACTGCATCAGCTCTTCCACCGGCGATTTCCCACCCCTCCCGACTCAGTCTCTTCCCACGACCAGAGACAGCAAGATGGCTCGGTTTCTCCAGTCTTGCCACCTCCAGCGACGCTCTTTCTCAGGCTTCTGCCAACGATTTGCCAACACGTCTCCGTTACGTTGGCATGTTTCTACTAGTCGAAGCGGTAATTCGAACCTACGTGGAGAATCCGCACACTCCGTCACCGCCACAACGCCAGTATGAACAGCAGCAACCACATCTGCAGCAACAGAGTAGTGTCATAGGCAGTGTAAACAGCAGCAAGGCTGACACAAACCAGACCCCCACTCATCGAAACTCTTTGACCGGAGTATCAGAAGAACCGTCACTTCGTGATACCATGATCGATGTGCTCATCCATCTCACTCAATCCTGGTGGATACCGTCTGCTGCTTTCATTTCCCTGGTGCGTTAAGCTTGGTAGTGAACTGTTCACAGGGACCTCTAAGCTGCGGCTCTTCAATAGAGAGCTATTTGACTCAACATGGTAGCTTTCCGTTTGCCTGTAACAGTAAACCGCGAAGTGCCAGTTTACAGTATGTACACTTATTTCATCGCTTATTTAACCTTGGCTAAGTCGTTTGCATACTTACTTCAATTATGTTTAATATGCTTGTGCTTTAAGCACTTTTAAGTGTCCTTCAATGTTGGGAAACCTCTTCAGTTTTAAATAACAAGTATAGATCGTCGTTGAGTGAACTTAGAGGACAACTGTTGAGTCCTCTTGAAACTGTTGTACTCCACAAACCTCAACCAGTTGTACTCTTCCAATCGGTAGGTCAGAGGAGTTATTCTTCTCATTTACTTAAAACCAGCTTTTAAAATGAGGCGTTTCTCGTCTGCTGCTCTTACCACAGAGTGATGCAACGCGCCTTTATGCGAATGTGGGCATTTGTATTTCTTCTACACTCACTTGGCGGTTGAAGAACTTGATACAAAGTACACCTCCCCAATTACTCCCTCAGTCAAAAACCGACACTGCTCTATCAGTTTTGTACTTCCACCACTTTATGCCGAAAGAGTAATGATTTGCATAATTCATAGCTATTTTTTGCAACTATGGCAACTATGGACGGCAATTACAGGAGAATGATGCTTGAATTTTGAAGTTCGCTGCTGGAAAGCTAAAACTATTAAATACTGTTGCATGTGCCAAGGTGAAAGAGAGAGGAATTGGTATTCACTTACACGTTTCAGAAGGATGCGTATCAAAGTCTTTACTTAATATATACCTTTCTGCAGCTCAAATAATGACTCAACCATGGTTTTGGTCCTTAAGCGAGTCATATTACCTTATAGGTGCGGGTAGTTGTAAATAGGAAATTTGGTGCCAAGTCAAATGAAGAAACCACTCCCACCACCCAATAGTGATAGTTAAATCAAATGTGGAAGTCCTTCTCCTTACACCTACCAGAGACCCATCCCCCTAGAATCGGTAGCAGAACTGGGACTGAATCACAACGTGTCTCACCCTTCTTGCGTGTGAACAAACATAAAATTTTGCAATGCCGATTCTTTGTGACTCTGCCATCCGTACCGAAGTCACGTCTCATGTTTTAGTACCAATCGCTAGAACAAACTTTCCTTTCTGGTAGCATGACTCGTTTTCTCCAAGGTATCCCAAATGCAAGTGTTTAAGGAGGCATTTAAACTTGATACTACTAAATAGGTAAATATTTATGCATCCAATCTGCAGGGATAGCTCTTGACGATAACAGAGGAGTATTGTCGGAATTGCTATCTTTTTAGCTGCTATCACTGATAGTTACGAGGCCTCTGGTAGAACTGCGTCACTACTTTGACCTCACTAAACAACTCCTGCGTGTAAAGGACGAGTTGCAGTCGGCGCGAGTGCTCGCGGTACTCTGCGGTCTCCGAGGCCCCGCATGGCATCTGCGACCGAATTTTCAGTCCATCAGAACGGATAGCGAGGCTATATTTGGAGGTGTTGCCACTGGGGATACCGATGGCTGCGAGGGCGTCTGTGGTGCCACTGATGGACAGGAGTCTTCGCGCTATCCACCACCGCCGGATTTTGCACATCCTGGTCTTCTTAGTAGGTTGTTTTACAGATGTCAATAACTGTGGCGGACTTTGCATTCACATTTAGCTTCAGTGAGCACTTTGGTGCAGGTACACTAAGCATTACCTCCATAAGTTCTCTACAACTATTTGGTCTCAAAATGGTTTTCCTTATTGTAGATCTTTGGGCTACGTTTACTTAAAGTGGCAAGATGCGTAAGGAGTTCTTTGAATTCAGGAGTTTTCATTGTGTCTGAAATTAGCCTAAAATGACTTGACTGTAATTAAGTATGAGATTTTAATGACTGTACAATTAGTTGTTCCTCCATCCTCTGGCGTTTGCGGGGTGTTTTCTGGACATCTCGCATGTGATAAGCAATGGCTAGCACTGGCCCAATTCACCTTCATTGCAGGGAGTTGACAGGTTTACTTAGGGTCTTGCTAATGAAACTAATTAATGTGAATTTGTACTTTTTCCAAGAATGCATTAAGTGGAGTTGTTTCTAATCGGAATAAGATTATTCACTGTTTGGTTGGAGCAAACTACGACAGAATCCATTCACCCTCGCTAACATTAATGTATTTTTGTCACGTTATGAACGTCAAACATCTTTGTTTCCGTAAGCAATAGTACAGAAGTTTCCAACTGGTATCCCAATAATTCATGCCATTAATGCTGACTGGATTTGTCTGTTTCGTAGGTGACCTCTTTCCAGTAGCTAATGTTGTCTGATCCTGCAGCCAGTGTGAGCGATGGTTTATGCTATTTTCCCCATGGGTAAAATTTTTCCCTGAATTACCTCACCTAAAGCGAATGCAATCATTACATCCACTGCATTTCTAGCCTGTATCCCTGTGCTGCGCGCCTAATTAGGCATTTTATATTTGCATTCTGATTCTCTCGGCCTAAATCATGGGTAGGCAAAAGCATGCGTGGTGCTTTCAATAAACACAATGGAGGCACAATGGGGAAACCCTCAAATTGTCCGTCACCGAAATAGAGAGTGAAAAAAAAGACACTCATTATTTTTGCATAACTATGGCCGAATTTCCCGAGATGCAGAGTTCCTCTTGATCACCCTGATACGATTCCTTCGTTTCTTCCTTCGCCTTGAGTTACCACGTCTAAATATAGTCATGGTTAATTTCCGAATCTTCATGTTAGTCATAACTTGTGCTTAAGTAGACTTTTAATTGTTCATGAGAATTCGGAGAATTTCACTAAATTCAACACCGTTTGTCATTACTTTGTGTTTAAGGCAAAATGTAAAAGGAAATGCTTATTTGGGCCACCACTACCGAAAACGGAAATGACCAAAATGTCAATGGTTTAGTTGTTTTGCAATCGATCTAGTAAACTGTTTCCTATAGGCATTGAAGTTACTAATTAAAGAAACAGTTAATTCACTTGGGACGTCTCATTCTCTGGAACCTGAGAAACGCTCATGTCTTGACTTAAATCTCACAACTTTTGAGTCAAATACCCTAGAACATCCTTGTTGCGTTGGCAGTCCTCCTCACTGGCGAGAGTGGCGCTGAAAGTGGTAGCACTTTTGATTCGCGTCGCGCCTATCAGTGTATGAAGTTTCTGGTGGAGCTAGCAGCGGAGAACAATGCAGTGGTAGAGGGCCTCTCACACTTTCCGCAGCTCTGGGGTCCTGCAGTCGAGTGGCTGCAGTCTCTTCTCGAGGCCTCTGATGCTGCCACCGCCGCTGCTAACGCCAGTTTCAGCCGTACCGCCCCTCTGGGGCGACACACTGAACACCTTGATTCGACAAGCCCTGCCACCACTGCTGCTGGGAGATTCCGTTCCGGCACCTTTAGTGGAACCACTACTTCTGGACGTGCGTTTGGATTTGTCTTACACTGATTACACCCCTTTCCGTAATGATAAATGCGATGCGAAGGTTTGCAGGCAACTATCAATCATACAGCTATGTTAGCAGTCACTTCTCACTTGTTCTCCATTACATCGAAAATTGTTGGTTCTAGTAATTTACTACAAGTTTCCAACTTTTGCAGTAATTTTCAATTTGGTCTTTTTAGCACTCGTTAGTACCACACCCTCGCTTCTACAGCTTCTGTTGTTTGACGACTTTTCATGGGTTGTCTCTTGTATACTGCGAACACCTCTGTCACTGGAATTACAAGCACATACACTCGAGACGCCCAAATCTTTGGAGCTATGGAAGCGAACATAAACAACTTAGTTTTGGTTGAACATTTTAACATTTAACCATTTTAAACCTACTTTTAGTCACTAGCTCCTCCTCTGTCAATAGCTGTACCAAATTTCCTTTGTTTATCTTTAGTTGCAAAAATACTGTCTGATATGGAGTATGTGTTGGATGGTAGGTGGACCTAAACAGTGTTTGAATAACATTTGTTTATGATATATTGATGCTCGACCTCTAGCACGATTCCTCCCTCTATCACGTAGGCAATTTTTTTCCCCAAGGTCACTGCGAAAAAGTGCTTTGTGTGTTTCGATAAAAACACGGAGATTGAAAATAATTCTGAGGAGGCTTGGAATGTCATTTCAACTGACAAAATGCAGAGGTGTCATTGAATTCACTCATGTACAATTCTGCTGACGTGTCAATTGCTTTGAGATCTAAGCTTCTTTTCATCATTTTTAAACATGTTTGAATGAGGTCACCTCTTAAGTCGTTTCACGGAAGTTGTCTCCACGTCTAATCTCTTCCATCAAACTTGATTGCTTCAAATCACATTTCAACAAGACTGGAGCGAATGAACATGGTAACACTTTTTGTCTACCTTGAATTTACTTAAAACTGAATAGAAAGAAGATTCGCCTGGATACGATTATGTAAGTCAAAGTTTATTCGGATTTGTAAGGAAAAACGCGATCCTACCGACTGAAGCAGGTTTTTACCGCATGCAACACAAGGAAGTTTTTCAGTGGCCATTGCAGCTCTCTTGGTGCATTCCTTCTAAAGACTCCTCTGGTGATCGTTTTCCATATTATGCTATCGTACAGTGTGTGCTCACCACCCTCTGCAAAGCAACTGAGAAGACTATCGTGGGCAAATCTGCAGATCATAAATTAGTAGCATCTGCTTCACGAACCACTTCATTTCACTGGTCTTCACAATCTCTTATGGGCTAATTAATCACTTTTGTGAACTGTGTTTCTTGGGACCGTTTCGAGCTTAAAATCGCTTGTATTTATGTCCTTCTAGAGACGGGCAAACCAATGAAAAAGTCGGGCAGTATTGAGGATGATTCATGGGCTCTAAAGAGAACGTCTTCTGCACAGGTTTGTTATAAAAATCTGCGTCTTTGCATTTCATTTACCATCACCTGTTTCCACTTAACTAGAAATAAAGCATATTTATAGTTGAGCGCACCACGTCATTTGTAAGGCTCACTAAGGCTAAACACGCTTCTTTCCGCTGATGCAAGTTGATATTTTCAATTCCAGATTACCTCTATGATTTACGATAGCATACCTTCATAAACTATCAGTGACTTTAGCTTAAAGGATCTCTTAAAATAAGGCTTTAATGCGATTTACTGTGCAAATAAAATTTCAACTTTATTCGGTGAAATATAATCGGGCGACTCCTGCTACGTCATCGTTCCATCCAAAATTCATTCTTGTATGCGCCATTTCAGACAACTTTGACGGAGGCTGCAAGAATGCTGGCAACTATGCCAGGCTATGATACTCAACGGCTTCAAACGCACCGAGAAGTGGATCAAGACTCTCCGGAACATGCTTCTCCATTCACATCTTCCACAGCCTAGGTTCGGAGTGATTCCCCTCCTGATTTTCTTACTTTAATTATGCTTTGTAAAGTTCTTCTTGAAACATCCTATCAATGCATCTCTTCTAGAGCCTCCTAACGCCTATTTTCGTTTGACGTTTTTTTTTCACACCTGCTCTGGTTGGTGGTTCAAAACAACGACTCATTGGCACTGCTAATACGTTACTCTTTTGTTTGCTGTTTAGTTTTTTGGAAATGCTTGAAAGCTAAACCTCGATAAATGAGACCGCAAACGGATGATCTCAGTAGGGATGGCATTTGAGATTCCAAAAGTATGATGGATTAAATCCGCATTACTGCATATTGACGTGTAAGGCTTTTGGTGGAGACATTTTTGCTGCTTCCGGCTATTAACGTGGGCAGGCGTAGAACGTTTACACTCAACTCCATCTTTCACTTTTTGTGAAGCAAATGAACATAGAATATGATGGTTAAATCTTCACGGCTTCTGTGTGAACTTTTAATTTCCTGCGTTTGCAGCAATTCTTGCTGTTTTCCAGGTGTTCTGATCCAACAGGCAGCAATATTCATGCAAGACCTCAGATAGGGCGGTTGGTGAAAGCCTTGTCTTCTTTAAAGTCAGAGCACAGGCTTTTAAGGCCTTTGCCATCAGGGTTCCAGGGAAAGACCAACAGCCATGGCTCTGAACTTTTATTTCTTAACATTGACAAATGCTGCTTCTCCTTTGTTCACCCATTTCATACAAATCCACCTTTACCAGAGCTTCAGGCTGCATATTCCGATTCTCGAACTGACTGTTCAATACTGATCCATGAGCCTAAGCGTTCCGACAATGCAAAGCTATACTGAAATTTAAACAAAGTCATAATGTAACCACAATGCCTTCTGAAAGCGTGCATCTTGGGTGAGTGCAGGCGCAAATAGTTCCTAGCGTGAGGGAGCAGTCAACGCAGTAACACCGATAGCAACGAGTGAATACTTTGCCTCTTGGAGGCAGGGAGATTTAAGGTTGTACTTTTGCCCTTAGCTTACAATCTCTTGTGGTGGATGGTTAGTAATCATCTAAGGCGTTAATAGTTTATTTGTACGATGCTTATTGTCACACCTTGCAATTCAACTTCCAAAGGTGCAAGTTTCACTTGTGCCTCGTGCGTCATTACAGCCCATCTTTGTGATGCTTCACCTCATTCCGTTAAAACCTGGGACATTAAACGTATCCAAACTCACGGATCGCATTCCCGTATGTTAATTAGGAGGCGCACACTTAAATTAACTGTAGCAACTTTTACTACTTGCAGTATGTAGTTCGCTGACCTAGTCTAAAACTTATGACACCTTAGAAGGCTAAGAGAATTAAACCAGTTTGTTTATGGTCAGCATTGAATAGGAAGAAGGAGACTTATTTATTAGGGATTGACCTATCCCAGCAAGCATTTCACCATCAAAGGGTTTGATTATTACTTGTCAAAGTTCATCGCAGTGCAGTGCCAAGTTCGGTCAGAGTGGGAGAATAAGCCCAACGCATCGCATCCACCTTGGGCGCGTTTGTCAGGTCCTGCTGTGCTGGTACAGCCAAATACACCAAAATGAATCGCTTTGTTGGAAAGGTTTTTATGTTCATGTGGAGTAAATGCAACAAATCAAGGCGACTTAACTGGTTATTAATTTTATGATACATCAAGGGATAACTGAAGCTGCAAATGAAAGCGTCAATTTTATCTGTTTGTGTTGGTTGGGTGTGCAGGCTGAAATTAGAGGGTTTGTCAGCTGCTCTCTGAATCGAACTCCAAAATGTCCTTCCTCGGCAATTATCTAAACGCAAGATCTTATGCAAACCCGAATAGCACAACGCAAATTCTTTAATTATTAGTCGAGGAAAAGCACAACACCAAGAGACTGTCTCGATATGACCTTTAGTGCCTAACTTTTTTCCTCGAGGTGGAACGCTCTGACTCAGCCAACATGGCGGTACTTAAGGACAAAGATTATCCGCAAGGCATGTTACTTTTTTATGCGTCGAATTTCTGCATCCTCAACATTTTGATTTATGAGTTTCGTTTGTTTTAGTCGGCTAAGTACATGCAAAAAAAAGTTGAAATTAATTTTTTTGACTCCTCATATATGATCCAGTTGTAAACCAACTGTTTGCACCAAACACACCCAAATGTTGTCCTTGACAAGGGTGTTTTGATACGGCTGGCCTATTCTGGGAGAAATGATGATAAAAAAACTTAATGCATTCGTCCTCCACTGATTCATCGCTTTACTCACATTATGAAATTTAAATCAGCCTCGAGTCATGCGTTGTCCTACCATCACCTCCTCCTCCTCCTCCCCGAAGCTTTATGGCGATGTGATTCTGCAGTCTGCAACCCAGTTTATCCTTGTCCGTAAAGCAGACAAGTATGAATCACATCAGATTCAACAGCCACTTTTTATGTTATGAGGGATTTAATGGTGCATGAAAAAGTCTTAAACGTGCAGCGCACCACTGCACCCATTCTGTACATCCCATAGCTACATTTGCTAAAAAAATTCTCACTATATTATCTTGCTCCTGGCAGAAATAGTAGAACACTAGAACTCGTTTAGGATATGATGTTTGAGGTCCGTACTCAAAGTACAAAGCTATGTCATCAGAGACCTTTTCAGGTGGGCGACTATAGGGGCTGGAATGGTGGGAAATGGTTACAGTGCATTTTGGAGAGTGTCCAAAGATGGTCGCAAAGGGGATAGCGCATGTTAGTCTGCGATGGAAATGATTCGTGGGTTACAAGCTGCTTTTGCTTCTATCGGCAAATGTTTTAATACGCCGCCTCTGTAAGATTGAAACGAATTGAAGCTAAAGGTCGTCGAGGGGATGTGGGGAGGACGCATTTGGCACCAGCGTTGGTTTGCAACGTACAACCTTGGAGCCCCGACATCAGCGGTATTATTCAAGGTCGCCTTGCCTATGTGTGCGTACGTACGGGAGGCGAGGCCAGCTACAGTCACGTCTACACACTTCGTGACGATTGAATGGGCAACGAATCACTTCAGCCATCGCTATTCTTACCGCCTCTGGCTGTGCTTCTGTTTGTTTGTCTTACCTGCATACGTGTTGCACACATACCCACGCATGCAGATCTAGCTATTAGGGTTTCACCCCGATGATACAGTAGGCAAACACTACTTCTATCTTCCATCAAAGTGTTTTACTTCACCTTTAGTACTCATCTGTTTTCCATATTTCTGGTTCAGGCTTCGAAACCTGAAATTGTACTTGCAACTTTGGCATGGAAGTCGCGCATACTGATGGTCGGTAGCCATTAAATAGTTCGCCTTTGCTGCGTACATCCAACAGGCGCACAAATTACTCAACAATACAGCTGCCAAATTATTATCCCGCTTTCTAGAAAGATTAAATTTTTCCTAGTTATAAACTATACTTTTCAGAATAACAAACACCGACAATTAACCAAACGTTCTTACATCACGTAACAAATCGTAAAGTTAGTCCTCGGGGATCTGTGATGTTTAACGGTACATTTGCCCCTCGCAAAATTCCTTTTTGCTCCCTGTTTTAGCACTTTGTATTAGCTTTTGAAAGTATATCATTAGGGAGGGCCTATGTATGCCATTTCTGGACTCTGGCAATAAGTACGGAAGAAATAATGATAGGCGGTGAAAAGCGTTTGTGCATAGAATTCCTTATTTCAAAGACGCAAATTTCGTTACTGTCAGAGATTCTCATCCCTATTGTACTGATAAGGCTTCAAACGCTTGAGCTAAGTCTTCGCTTCAGCAGTTACTTCCCTTACGTTCGAGTTTAAGCAGCTCATTTACTGTCCTAAGTGGGATTACGTTGAGATTGGTTAAAGACGTATGGCGAACGTTGCGTATGTAAGAGAGACTTGCAAACAATCGATGGTCTACACACGCATTACAAAATGGGCACCCCATTGCATGCAAACTGACGAGCATCAGATCACATAACCGTTTGAATTAACCTATAACATCGAATAGACTCTCAAATATCAATGCAAATATTTTTGGCTGCACCGTTATTAATGCCATTATTGTAAAACGATCAGTCTTTAATAAAATTCAGCCATGACAACAAAGTAAAACGATTTATTTTTATTGCTATGATTTTTGGGATTGCTTTGCCAAATCCCATTAGATTGTGTTTTGGAGACGTGCTTTTAGCATTTTATCTTCGATACCAATTTTAATAAACAGCATCACAACATTCGCGCAAATTGACTACACACTGTTTGGAGCAATGACCTTGAAGGGCGAGCATTATTTCCTGTTGCTTTCATTTAAGGCGAATTTCTCATGTTCATGATTAGTTTTACTTGACCGTTGGCTAAAAAGAACCAATGAAATATGAGCTGCTCTGCGATTGGTTAACCTAGTGGTACGCATGGCCATGTAGATGCGGACGCAGAGCCAATCCATTAGGCTGGGACGGTCCCAGCAGTCACGTAGCAGCTTGAAGCGAAACAGACGCCCCCAACTTGATTTTGCACTTCCGCTGACAAAGAAAATGCACTTTCTTAGCCGTTTGGCGGAGCTCCTCTCAGAACGCTATGTAGGGCCCACGAAGCCCAAGTTTGATCTTTGATTTACGCGTACACTTGCCTGTACAGATTGGAAGGACTGTACTGCGTTCACCCTCGCTTGCTCCTATTCGTTACCCCTCCTCTCAAGACATTGTTTACTGTCTCATAATCTCATTTTGCCCTCCAAAACCAAATCAGTCCAGCTCTTAAATGCTCAAATCTCAAACCACTGATGATATTGGTAGTAACACCAACAAACTCGACGCCTCCAGCAGCAATCCAGATCGGCGTAGGTCACCTTTCATCAATTTTTTCGTTTTCATCTGGACACGGATTAAAGTCCTCTTCACAAGTGCATTGGGTGACGTCTGTGATTGCTCTGTGTCCTCCAAAAACAGACCCTCAAACGGCGACTCCTCCATCAAAGGTGATGAAGATTGTGCTGAAGGGACTTCTAGTCAGTTGAATAGATCGGTGCCAAATGTCACCGATCAGGAGCCCAGCAAGTGTATTGTTCTTCACACAATTACAGAGGAGGGTAGTGATGATCTCAGATCCGAGCAAACAGTGGCTCCTCAACCATCTAAAACCGCCGTTTCTCTCTTACTTAGGGAGTCATCTCAACATCAAAGAAACTCGTATGACACGCTTGAAACTTCCGAGCCCATTTCAGAGGAGCATTTGGAACCTGTAGAAATCACAGGCGAGGGAGTTTTCTCAACCGCTATTACTTTCGCCCACCCTGTCATGATGACAAGCGTCTCACCGCGGGCCCACTTACCAAGGTTGCTTCAGGTTGCTGAAAAATTGCATGCTTATGAAGTCCCCCCCATAACGGAGGAGGAAGTTGTTGCGGAGGACGACTACCCTGCCGAAAGTGTGTGCTCATCTTCTGAAGTCTCGAATGCTATAGAATGCTCCCATCCACTCACAATTCTCGGGAGACTGCACACCAGATTGCAAAATAAGGACTTAACAAACGAGGAGTATAATCATTTGGCTACTTCCGTAATAGCATCCACTATTCCCAGGAACCTTTCAGATTCCGCTGAGACTCGAAAACCCCATGGGGCGAATCAACTCTACGCTTGGCAACTTCCTCCCCCCTTGCCTGAGCCTGATCCAGCTGAAGTGATATTACCTCACTCGCAGCAGACAGCAACTGATGCACCGAATCCCAGTTTTTTTGTGGATTTGGTAATTTCAGATGCAGTTGAAAAGGTGGCCCATGGATCAGACTGCGACCCTGAAGTGAATAAATGCATTGCAAAAAGACCTTCCCCTGTTGATCAAGTTGACAACTGCTCCTCAGTAGTTTTAGACCCTTCCCATATTTGCCTTCCCTTGACCTGCGATATCTATTACGATGGTCTCCAGACAGCCAGTCTGGATAGGATACGCAGTCCCACTGCATACAGTTCCACTAAAGCCATACGCTCAAAGCGAAGCAGTTCTCTCAAATCGGAGCGGTCTCCTGACGAAACGCCGTGCCGGAAAATTGTTAGGTTTGCAGATACCTTGGGACTTGATTTGGCTACTGTAAGGCAGGTTAAAGATGCAGACCATCCACCCTTGATTCCCGCCTCGGCAACTTTTGATCTCAATCTAGACACCGAGAAAAGTTTCAGCTCATTGGGTGCCAAGCAATTCCAAATATGCTTCCCTCAGCCTGGCGCTTCGCCTATCTTCATGCATCGAGTTCTCAATTCCTACGTTTGTCTTGAAAATGCCAGGGTGGATTCTTCCAGGGGTCTGTTGACTGGAACGATCAGAGTTAAGAGTGTGGGTTTTGAAAAGAAGGTCGCCGTGCGAATAACTTATGATAATTGGTCAACATTCTTTGAAATACCTGCCTCCTATGTGCAAGATTCCCACGACGGTACTACCGATAGGTTCTCCTTCTGTGCAGTCTTCCCCTCTTCTATGGTGGCCAACGATCGAGCTCAGTTTGCAATACGCTACGAAACGCACTCAGGAGTTACGTACTGGGACAATAATCTTGGCGAGAACTACACCATTCATTGCTATGCCAAGGCTACTGATATGGCTGGAGATGGCTCCTGGATTCACTACCTTTGAGGGCTGAAATTTACACCCCAACACACGCAACTGTGGGTCTCTAGCAGTCTTTCGAAAGTGACTTTAGATGTTCCTTCTCCTCTTCCTACTCGGCCTCCTCCACGCTTCCAATTCTTGCCCGATTCGACCATTATTTTCGGTGACATGTCTCAATGTTAAAATTTAATCCAGTGCGAGTCACAAATGTAACCGAACCACCAATCTTAGTCCGCTTATCCCCTTGCTCTCTCCCCAGCCTTTTCCCACATTCATCGCATAAATTTCGATTTCTTACACTGTACGAGATTTGAACACGCTGTCAGAGAGAACACCATCAATATCATTTATTTTGTAAATGAGACCCTAATAAACCTACTTCCAGTCTTGTATTACGTTTCCGGCCGTGCTCGCCTCTCTATCCGTCCTTCGGTTTTTCAGCAAAGAATGTGCATTGATGCTGCTATTGTGTCCAACGTCTAGTTCTCTAAGCAGTAATTAAATGTATCCGCGGCCTCCAGTACTCTGTGAAATGATGTAGTCATGGCTAGAGCAAAATTAACCATAAGCCACAGTGTTTAGCGATGGGATGAGAAAATAAGTTAAAGTGGGTTTTAATGCTTGAAGTTCGATGGCGGTCTTGTTACTTCCGGAGAATCTGTCTAATATGCAGTGGAACAACTTATCACAGCTCGATGTCTCGAGTATATGTCCGACGAATTTGTGGAAGAGGCAACCTTTAAACCATGAGGTCCAATAGAGGTGGACCTCCATTTTTGCCAGCCATTTTGGTCAGTGCTCCAAGTGTATTCACGACCATCATTACCATAAAGCATACATTTATTGTCACTTATTACTCATTTCGGTGCACCTGCATCCTCCTACTCAATAAAATTATCAAGTTCAGCAGTTGCTCAATGCTCAGTAGAATATTTGCTGTCCACAATTTCCTCAATTATGATTTACTTGTCATTTCTTGTTTCGGAGGTGCTTCATGCACAAAAATTACACCATGCTTTGGCACTATACTGCTAGAAAAAGGTATTTCTGATAAAATGAAGACCTTTAAATAGTTGAGAAGATTTTCTCCATCGCAATGGAATTGTCAGTTAAGTTTGGTGTCATGTATGAAGCAAATCAGTTTTACAAAATGACTGTCGATCAGGCTATTTGTTGATTAATGGTTCGGAATTGAGATTGCACCTCTACGTACATCACTTCCTCATAATTCTCTGTTAAGGTTCAAAAGTACACTTGTGCTGCCATTAGAAAGCAGCCTTGGATGGTTTGGTTCCTTGTCCTTCATTTGTGCAAGGACGTCGAAAGGATTTGCGAGACAAAGGGCAATATTTCCGTTTCTTGTTTAGGACTACTTGTTCGGAGCAATACTGGAAGTCGAAAGGGCATCGTGACCAAATTAGGGAATTCACACTCATTGGAACGCTATCACTTTTCCATTTTAATGTTCAGCATTTACTAGCACGCAAACATCGTTACCCTTTAATTCACTAAAATCAAAGTGAAAAAGGAGATGGAGCAAGTCTTCGTCTGCTCTACCAACGAGGCTTTATTTTTAACTTCTGATAGATGACTCTCCATCGGACCACCAGCGGATGGCAACACGTTGACTAACCCCAAACTGAATTTGGCAACATTAAAGGCGAACGTTGTACAATGTCAACTATTTACGCAGTGATGAGATAGCTGAGGACAAATGCATCAGCACTGGCTCACATCTGTTCAAAGCTCAAAAGAGGGCGGCTTCCACATCGCCCAAATGAACTCCGTTGCCTCACTTGTGCTTAAATACAGCACAAATGCAGCATTTTATCCCGTGATTTCATAAAATATTACAATTCTTTTAAAGTTAAAAGAAGTACATGTGATCTAATTGAAAATAAAATGTGAAAGTTCACTAACTTTTTAAAGAATATATGTGAAAAGGTTTTGATGGCAAAAAGAGAATAAATAATGACTAAAGCAATGTCCATAAGAGGATTTGAAGACAACGCCCTCATCTCCTACCACTGACTTCCGCTGAAGAGGTCGATTTGAATTCGAATAAAGTACAGTAAAATAACCAAGTCGTGCGCACCTAAAGTGTAAAAACAAAAATACTCGGTCTGGATGGGTGTCCCAATATCCTTGCCCCACTTCTTGTTTAAAGTAGTTAAATTTTTAGGAAGTGAAACGTCCTCAAAACTATTCACTCACCGCATGGATATGGCATATAACTTCGTGATTTCACTCTTACTCTAAAGCATGCTCGTTTTTTGTCTGATATACGTCTGATTTTCACACAATATGGCCGCGAAGCAATGCCAATGCTTCAGTGTGAGATTTTTTACCACCATGCTGTTTGATAGATCCTCCTCTTCCCATTTATGTGCAAATACAAGTAATTAACTGGGAAACTTGTTCTGGTGGGTAAAAAGACGTCACCACTTGCCAGGGAGGGGAGCGATTCATGAACAATTGAACAGAATCGTGTCCTATTCCTGACATTCTCTAGGATGCTCCGTCTAAATCCCAAAGGACCGTTTAAGCGCTTAGGTGGTGTGGGCGAAGAGACATTAGGGCTACTAGAATTAGTACAATGCAATGGAAGCAAATAAGAGCACAAAGGTAATGCAGAACAAAAGTTGGTTGTTAAATAGTGCCGCATTGGATGGCACTAACAGCCTCTTTGCGTAATCTCTTCATATTACCCAATTATCCTCCATAAAACCTTGGACGCTCAAGAACACTGGTGGAGGTTAAAACAGACCGCACAGCAGCAAGCTTTGAACTCACCGACATCTAATAACCATTTGTTCGGTCTTCAGAGGCTATCCGTCGATTCCATCTGTCTGTGTGATGGTTAACAGTGCTAAATTTGAAGGCAGTTTTTTATCGCTTTGCATCGTTAGGCTTAAAATATCGCTTCTCCCAATTAAGTTAGGTTGGAGGCCACTGCATGCAATCAGCATCCACGGTGTCCTTCTGATTAAGTTGAGGTGTCATTCGATGCTAGTGGTCCTAATATTATTTGCATTAAAAAGACAACCGAATTTTTATTGTATGACGCGACTATAAACAATAAGCTTACTTGAGGAGTCTGCATTATTAGATGTAATTATAAAACAGTTGCAATGCTTTGTCTTTTTGGTTGTCGGTATCGGCAACGCTCATGGCTTAGCTGGTCGGGCTGGCCTCTTGGCCTCTTAGTTTCTTTGCTGAAAATATGTATTCTGTTAAAAGTACTCTGCCCTCCACTATCTATGAAGAAGTCCTGCGACGTTACACCAGTTTTAAATGGGAAGAACATTCCATTTAAGGAGGTGCCTTAAATGCTTTTACCAATACGAATTGAGGAAATTGCTTGAATGCTTGTAACGTGGACGATCTCTTCTAAAATGGCATTCTTTAATGCATGCATGCAGGTGTTGACTGATTTCACCTAAATCGTATATTTTGCTGGACCATGTTCTGAGTGACCCTAAAAATCAGCCACGGATAGCATTCCAGTGTAATGCGTATGAGGTCAGCGACGTTGATGAAACACACAAAGGTGAGTTGTTTGAACTGAAAGGCCAGTTTTTTTGTTAGGTTACAAAAAATACCTAAAAGTGTTTTAATGGTATCGGCATAGCATTGAGTTTTGGTGGCACTGTTTGATGGCCTTTGCAGGCTACACGTTCTACTCTTGATTTACTCTATTTGTAGTTTAAATGCGGTGTAGTAGGGATTCACAGTTTGATTTTTACTGTTAATATCACGTGTGAAAAAAATGTAAATTCCAAGTGACTTGGAATCACACTTATTAGGTAATGCGACAAAGCGCCTTTAAATTGTGGAAGTGTAGAAGTGTGGAAAGTGTCCAACGCTACTTTCAAGAACGCCCTAAGGCCTTCCTGCAGACGATAGCAGACATGGCACGAGGGTGGAAATGTCAGCCGACTTACAGGAGAACTGAAAAGCAACCCACGTTGTACAACTGTCCTGCCACCATGCCAAAGCGCCGTTGCAGACCTCTGAGTGGCCGTGATACCAAAATAAAGCATTGCACGTCGGTATTTTGCGCCGAACGAGCGCACTTATTTGACCGAATTTTCGGGATACTTTGAAGAATTTCCCAGGCAAGTAAGACCAGATAGAAATAGTCAAGACGACCACGCCTATTGTACCGAACTGGAGGAAGACACGTCGATATCTTTGGAAGATGTAAACAGTAGATCATTAACAATAGTAACAAACTCTGTTTTCGCATCTTTTGAAAATTCCACTTTCTAACGGGATTTTAAAACCAACTGTTCTGCTTGTCGAAATTCCTCATTGCTATTACGTGCTGGAGAAAAAGTTGCAACACATTAAGACCAAGTGACATAAAACACACCTCTAAACAATTGCTGACTTTATAACTTCCCTATAGTAAGGATCCCCGATAAATTCGCAATGGAATCTTGGAGAAGTTGATCGGTTGTGATGTCCTCGGCATTGATGACATGCGTTTTAGTGAATAAAAGTGGAGACTAATTGACCTCTAGCGAGTGCCTTGCTGGTTTAGCAGTGATGCAATTTGTTGAGCTTTCACTTACGTCAAACTTTTTCCGAATTAGAAAGGTGGAAGTTAGAAGAAACCATTGTGATTAATACTTTTGCTGATGCCAGATGACTAATTGGGAGGAGACAGAGTTCTTGATAAACAACACAACATTTAGTGACATTCCGACTATCTTAAAGGACTCGGGTTAACGCCCCAAGACTTCTTCTGTCGTAGCAGAAGGCATTAAGCATGGCTGTATGTCTGTGCTCGGAGAGAAGACGATGACGTGGAGCTTCAACACGGCTTGAAGGCCAATCCACCCAACCAAGAGCAAGAAGAGCATCAATGTGACTGCCAACCACACAGATAATCAACTGAACAAAGTATTATAAAAAGGAGGAGGGTGAACTAAGTAGTGGCAGAATAAATTTAGACCGACGTAAAAAAGCGCATTCAATTTGAGTCGTATTGTGGTCAACTGTGGCTCAGCATCTCACAATCATGAAGGGCAATTAACGTCAACTCTGTCAACCTTTCACAGAGAAAATCAATGTAGCCAAGAAGGATAGAATGTGGAGGTCGAGTTTGCCATTTCGAGTGCACTTCATTTCTACTCTCAACTGAGAGCACTTTGCTGGAGTGATTGGAAGAAGTCCAGCCAACCATTGTTGTACAATTTAAAGCACACCGCAGGGTAAAACGGAAGGCGAATCAAGGCGGAAGAGTGCCAACACCACGACATCAAACATCAGCATCCTCGTTAATTCTTATGAACTACCAAAAATTGAATTACTGATGAAGGTCGTGAAAATTGGCACAAAGTGGCCTTGAGAATCACATTACTTGTCAGGTGTGGATGGTGCCGAAGGCATGATCAGTAAGCCCCCCGTTGCATGTTGACAGTAAAGACTTGCGATAATGTAAACAGAGTAGGAAGTGTGATAAAAATTGGCCAAAGGGTAATACGTGGTTACTGACCCTCATGGAGATCTCCATCTGACCTCGAGAAGAAAAAGACGCATATGAGTAGACTATTATTTCGGCATATGGAGCATGTTAATGTCTCAAATTTCCATTCAACTATGACTTTTCATTCTCGTCAAATGAAGTTGATGTGATCATTGGGTGCCGAAAGATTAAGTCACAGACAAAACCTGATACGTTTCTTCCAAAGTGTTTGCATTCCAATAAATACAATCTGTAGACCTTGTGTATAAACTTCTTAAACTAATTTTATAAAAATTTTGGGCTAACCTGAGCCACACTTTCTGCACGTTTTTTTACTAAGGAAAGGTTGATGGTTGAATTTTGTGAAGCGCAAAGTGTAAACATCAGCCTATTCAAAGTGACAGGGATTTAAGGGAGAGGGATTATGTCTTGATGAAGGAGTTCAACAACCCCACAAAAGGATTACGATGCCCCTGTCTTTTGCTTGGAGTATGAAAAATGAAGGAGATTGCCATCATTCCTAGTTTTGTTGTCTCGGGCACTTACAGCTCTCCCTTTTGTTTCACCGACGTACAATGTCTGCTTAACGAGTCTACAACCAGGATACTTCGAAACAATACATTAATGGCGTCCGCTTTGAGTAGTTGTTCTACATCAATGGCCTTAGCAACTAAAAAACACTAGACATGAGCTCCTTTGTAAAGTTTATCGAAGAGGTGTCCACGGCGTCTGGACGAGGGTGACGGTCAGGCATACAAATGATGCCGCCTCCACCTCCCTGCCAAATGGACCGAATCTGTACTGATGCGGCTGGAGAGCATTGAAGTTGGATGGGGGACAACCGCTACACAGCACCATTCTAAGTCCACTGTGCTTTTGACAAAGAACGCATAGCGATTAAGTCCTCCATTTTCGCAATGATATTCTCAAGCAAAAAAAAATGGTAAGAGTTAGTATAGTTATTGAACAATGATAAATGAAGTTGTAGTCAGAGTTCCTTTCAATTATAGGCAAAATTGTGGGAGTTGTTTTACGGGTGTTGTGTTGGAGCATTGACTACGATGTGATAATTTAGGGGTAACCAAGGGAGCGAAAAGAAAGAGAATGAGAAGTGGTGAAGAACTACGCTGAACATAATGTCACCCGATCTGTGCCAGTGTGCTCCTCCTCTGATCTCTCTGGACGTCGGTGACACATGACAGGACAGACACAATAAGCACAAACAAGTTTAATAGAACGCGATTTGCACCACAGATTCGATCAAATTTATGTGATTTTGATGGTGAGTGCTTAAATGTTTGTCTCCCAGACATGAAACATTCACCAATAACAACAAATCTAACTCATCTCTGAAAATTAAAATTTTTGAATCGTCCAACTGGAATCCGTCCTACAGGGAGTTTTAGGGTATAATTATCACTCACATGAATGTGTTGATTCTCATTTGATTGCCAATTCGTAACTCACTTTCTCTATTTTCAATAGCAGATGTCAAGCCTGTCAAAAGCAATTCGCAGGGAAAAAGCGACTTATGTTGCAGATGAGTCAGCCAAGGCGGTGACTCAAGACGAGATTACGCTTAATTTCACTAAATCCCAACCCAGACCAATGAACAATCCGTCAGGGTTTCGTCTACAATTAAACAATTAGCCTAAAGAAGTGTCTTATTTTTTGGAACAACTTGTAGGTGCGCAAAACAAGATAAAGCATCAGACTTGACCGGTGTTGCCAGTTTTACAAAACCGAATAGACAAGTGGACCTGGACTCCGTAATCCCCCTTCGACCACACGACACGTGGGCGATCACACTCAAACCCAGCAACCCTAGACTATTGCATTGTGAAAAAGGACACGGAATTGCAACCTTTGTTTCTTCATGGACTGGATAGGTCACTCTTAGCGGTGCAAAGCTACTATCAGTACATCAATTCACATCGATGGTAAAAAATTTCGTAATATTAAAACATAACCAGAAAGAGGGGCGATAGTGGACCAGCAGAACTGCCATTACAAATGGGGTCAAGTAACAGTGTAGTAGTGAAGAGTGCCACAACCACTCATAGAGCGTTCAGGTGACGTGATTCCGGGTAACATTCCATATCTTGCTAGGGCCATCCAACTTCCCTGGTAGTAAGAAGTAGCGGTAGATATTTTGCCAGCAGTAAGAAAAGTGGAACGAGACCGAAGGATACGACCGAAGTAAAGCAGCTGAGAAAGTTCACACAGCTTAAATTACTCAAGCAATCGTGCAGATAAGACCATCACCCACCATAAGCCAAATTTGATGCTCAATGACAATGGGACCACCAATCGACCCGCTTGATTCCACGACAGAGGCAGCACTCCTCAACTTACTTCCCTCTGACTAACTTCACCAAGAAGACCTCACTAACCAATAACAAGAAAACCATTGAGAATAAAAATACGCCTTAAACCAAGGCTTATTTCTTCAATATGCAAAATCACCATCACTACTCGTACAACCAAGTCATCCGACACTGCTTAAAACCCAATGTTCAAAGGCTCGTAAAGCGAAAGGCAACATTCAAGTCAACCAAACGTTCGACCAATTATACTCCGAAAGGTGAACGCACAAAATGAACCGGAGACAATAGACAGAAGGGGAAACAGAAATACAGAGCAACGGTAACTACAGAGAGGATGTATAATAGCGTATGCATAACTATAAAAACAGTGGTGAGTTGTGGGTGGAGAGTCAACACCGATTGAATTTGCCGTTACAGCACTTCAGGCTCATTGCGAGGGCCAATCGTAGGAGTCTGGTGTGAAGTCCACGTAGGATGGGTCATAGGTGAAACTCTTGATAAACTCCACCTTGTCCTCAGGTTCGGGATGGTACTGGGCAGTGCCATTAGAAAAAGATTTCGTCACCAACTCGACGGCGACCTTGTGTGCCACCTCACGCAGCTTCCTTACTGGTGGATAAGTGCTACCTACAGCTAGATCATCTTCCGTTACCATATCTGCCACTGTCTAGAATGAAACAGACTATAGTTAGCCAGATAGCCAAAACGACAGTGCGATGCTTTAACCTGCCAACTCGCCTTTGCAGCTGCAAGGAAAAGATCTTGAGTGATAGGACGAATAAGAGCGGAGGTGACAGCCATGGCAAAGCCAGGAAAGACATAATAGTTGTTGCCCTGACTTGGGTAGTACTTTTGACCCGAAGGAAGTTGAATGGTGGGGAATGGCGAACCACTCACGAAGATGCAGCGACACTGAAATGCAACAGCAACCATTTAAGTCACAAATGTGGGGGCATACAGCCTCGGCAACTGATCAAAAAACTAAAACCTCAATTTGGCTCCGAAGAGGGGCACAGGAGAAGTTATTCTAGATAATTAGTTATCGCAAAGGAAAAACAAGCAAAACCGCATGCAAATGGAGGAATCGAATGAGGTAAATGAAGGCGGTAAATACCTCTGTTGACTTAAATGCCGTCTCAGCAGTGCACTCAGCCTTCTCAGTGGGATTACTGAGAGCAAAAACAACGGGTCGTTTATTGAAATTTGCCATCAGGTTGAGAACCTCGCGAGTAAAAGCGTGTGGAACAGCAGCAGCTCCTGAGAAGAAACAATGGTATAAATATGCGCAGCTCCAAGAACGGTATCAGGCATCTTCGCACCGTAATCCAACTCACCAATATTTGAAAACCTTTAAACATGGCACAATAACTTGCGTTAGTAAATGAATCTTCCGCATGCAAAGGTATCAAGAGTACAACTTGCTTCACAAAAAACAATGAAAAGGGTGGATAGATGAAAAGGAACTTCATAACCTTTGTTGGAGACAATGTATCTTGTTATGCGCAATTTCAACCAAAAATTTTGCAGTACCATACCAAACATTTGCTATTTACGTGCTTTATGCATATGAAGGAATTACCCACTCAATTACTGGCATATTCTACGGCAGAACGTGGCGCCCATCATCCCGTTACTAATAAGATATACGCAGAGCCATTCAAAAAAATATAATCCAAAAAAAGTAGGACAACTTACCAATCAAGACAGTGGGCTTGATTTGAGTGATGGCAGTGGTTAAGCGGTCTACAGGTCCAGAATCATCACGAACGAAGGGAAGCTTATGCGGCTCCACCACTGCCTCATGACGACTCTGTCAGGAAAAATGATATTTTGATCGACTCTGCACGACACAGGTAAGTGTGGCACTGAGTCACATTTAGACAAATAAAGTACCAATTATAAAAGCGCCTACAACTTCTGATAATCCTTGAATGAATCTACACAAGCAACAACTGTCACACCTACAGGATACATGAATGGCGCTACCATCTAATTGGAACAACTGAATTATCAACAAATCGAACGAAATAATGCCGTCCAATTTAACCTTGACAAGAAGCCCCTTTGAGTCCATCATGTAGATGCGTGAATAAGCCTGCGCCTCAGATGCTCCCTCATCTTTCATCGCCGAAACGAGAATGTTTGCAATACCAGTGGCGGCCTGCGCAAAAAATGTAATTCACATACTGCCGGGCTACTAAACATTTGCTAGTAGAATGTATCGTTTAGAAAAGTAAGTGAACTGAGTCGAACCCACGTTGCCTGCCCCGTAAAAAAGGAACTTGTTGTCCATTAGACGCGTCTTGGTAATGCGTGTCGCAGAGATAAGACCAGCCAAGGCAACAGCAGCAGCACCTTGGGTGTTTAAGGAAGAAAAACTAACCCATTAACTGCGGACGGATGAAGCTCAACTATGTATTAGCTACTGTCCAACAAAAATACAACGTCAACCTACGATACTAAAACAAAAGCGAGCTAGTTCATAGACGGATCTTTGAAAAACGAGAAGTGGACCAAACTTCAATGGAAGAAATGAAGGACTGAAAAAGGATCTAGGAGCAAATTTATGAAACATACAAATCAACACATGAACAGAGCTGTAGTGTAGGCTTGTCCTCGAATGAGCCATAGAAGCATGTTTAAAAAAAGCCCAGACTTAAATGTTACATTCACTATCATCGTTTACGTAATGACCATTAATAATAACGCCTCTGCGTGCACAGGGCTTGAGCAACTGAGGAACTTTTACAGCGCAATTGGAACCCGTATTGTGAAAAATTCACAAACTGGTCATTTGAAATTCAGCACAACGATGAGTCACGTAGTCACAGCCTTGGGAGTACCAGCACTACTGGATTGACAGGGATCGAAGCCGTAAAACTCGAAACGGCATCCTAAATAACATTCACAGTGTACACTGGAATTAAATGCCACTATCTGTAAAAATAAATGCTAAATCAGATAACAAAAACGGAACATAGGGAAGAGCGCCCATGTGTGACCAATGGTCGCACGTGTAGCTGTTTGGGGAAGGACAACCTAGACACAAAGCTAAATAACAAACCTGATGTTTTTACATTCGAAGAAAGGCGAGAAGGAGAAAAGAAAGCAATAAGCAAAGCAATTAACGGATGAGCACGGGAAATGAAAGCGCAAAAGTAATGCATAGAATATGTTTCACGACATCGAACAACCAGACCTTTAAGTAAATTACATCCCCTCTGCATCGTTAATAAGTGATAACAAAGCTCAAAACTACAGTGAAATGGCTTGTACCATGTAAAGTGGAATGAGTGAATACATGTTTGAAGAAATTGGAATGTAAAGTCCGATAACAAGCGGCTAAGAACCTGAGCAAAATACAACTACCTTGGATGTCATCATTGAACACGATGTAATTCTTTCCGTAGCGCTCTAAAAAGGCGAAACTATTCTTGGTTGCCATATCCTCGAATTGGACCGCGACATTAGGACCGTATCTGTAAGAAAGCACAGAGACTTGAACACGCATGTCCAAGCCCTTGAAAGCACGTACTGCATAAATAATTGAGAGTTCATAAAAGCAGTTACACAAGGCATGCTAACAAAGCTATTCAATGAGATTCGAAGTGACAATAAGCCCTGACATGTTAGCAAACACGTAACCTGAAGTTGATTCGAACATGCAAAGATTTGCTTCAACCTGTCCCGAGCGAATAATACAGTCTTTTAAATACTAATTTCCAAGACCTGATGGGTTCAGAATCTGACCCAATTTAACAACGTAAAATGAACGATTCAAAACGGTAATACAGTTCAGAACCAACTGTATGAAACCAAGTTGAAAACAGATGCCGTCTTCACTACTCCATGGTGTAAATAAAAACAGTATGCAAAAAACGAACAGAATTAAGCCAAAAATCAGAGAACCAAGTTCTTGACGGGCACATGCAATCGGCTTCCCGATGCTTCTCATCAATTCAGCAGTGGAGAATAACGTGAACTTGTGTTTTGACTATAACAGACAAAAAAAAAACAGCAGAGAAAAATACACGGACAAACTCACAGATCAACGAGTGACTCCAGCACCTCATCCATCAGCTCATAATACTGGTCTGTGGGGATGCGCTTTTGGCGGAGGCCCAAGTAAAATTCATTCTAGGAGGAGGTGGGTTATTACAATACCCATGACTATTGTGGGCGACAATTTCCTGAGCAAGCTACTTACGTTCAAGAGATCCTCATTGTTGGTACCAATATCGATCATTAGAGGAAGGCAGGCGCGAGGATTAACGCCGCCGAGAGCCGTGTAGAGCGCACACTTGCCGATGGGAATTCCCATGCCCTGAGCACCCAAATCACCAAGACCAAGAATCCGCTCGCCATCCGTCATAACCACGGCTTTCACACGCTTCTCTGGCCAGTTGCGTAGGATGCTACGAACGTGACCTTTATCGTTGCTCGTGATGTAGAGACCTCTTAAAAACAAGCAGATGTAAGTTATCAGAGAGGTATGCTTAAATATACACGCGTTCAAAATGAGGCAAGGGCATTAATACCGGGGTGGGAAAGTAAATTAAAACGATTTAAATCGATTATATTGAATCGGTCACCGCAAATGTTAAGATTTACACGATTATTTAGGCTTGGGTACATATTTAACACAAACAAATATTTTAGTGAATTAAGGGGAACGTGGGCAAAGTTATTGCGCATACCAGAAACTTGTACCAATCAAACAACTGCAAACCTTGCGGATAGATGGTCAAAAGGAAATAAACTTTAAAACGCCACCATTTCATACCTTGGTCGCCGCAGAATCATGCCGTAGTTTAGACAAGCTTTCCCAACCGTGGGCGTGTAAATGAGGGGTAGAAGATACTCAAGATTGCTTGTTACCACCTGAAGGTTAGTGGATAATTAAATTTGGCCTCAAACCTTGTAGAAAAGCTTCTCATTGCGGTCCTGAAGGGACATAAGAGTGTTGTAACGACCTAAATCATCTTCCAGGGCGTACAGGTTGGTAAGAACGCTTTGGGCTTGCTCCTTCTGAGTTAACACCGCGGGTGGCAAAAGACCGTGAAGCCCCAAAACTTGACGTTCTTTGTGAGAATATGCAGCTCCCTAAAACAAGATTTAAGGACTAAACATTGACAAGCCCGATGGACAACAGCACACGCTGCAAAGTAAGTTGGCACCCAACCAGTAGTGTGAACCCACAAAAATCACACACATTCACAAAGATTGCCTCAATTAGCCAGATAGTCGGCCGATCTTAGGTACTGCGGTAGCAATATTGGAAGGCTCGACAAAAGGCGGGTACAGTTCTAGGCAAAACAATATCGTTTGAATTCGAAGCATTCTAAACTGGTGGAAAAAATAAAGTACTTGCCAGCACCTCCTAAGGCAAGGGTAGGCACAGAAAACAAAGTACAATTCCCGCAGAAATCCAGGTAAGCGAATTGACAACACCTCGAAATCAAGTGCCTACAGTGTGGTAAAGTAGGATACCCCAATAACAAGGGCCAAAATTTCACACAAACATTTTAATCTCCTATTTATGTAGGTGAGTTCAAACGAAAACAAAAGCTCTTCCCTGAAACAAAGCCAAAAATGACAGACGAATAAAAGTAATGCTTTGACTACAGAGAGTAAGCCTCCCTCAAAGAACTCTTTAGAATGTTTACAACAAATGTGGACAACGTAGTAACCAAACTACATGTGCACTTTTCCCATATTGCACAGTCGCGTTAATTCGTGTAACAATTACATGAACTAACCTGCGGCACGAGAAAATCGCTTACCTTAATAGTGGTGTTGCTCAGAAGGCTAGTGGCATTAGAATAGCAGAATGGAAGCCTGGCACTTGACGTAGAACGCCAACTGCCTTGACTGACTCAATTAAAATACGCGAAATAGAGAACAGAAAGTACAATTCCATATGTAGTTCAATGCTTCAAGGGTGCGACTCAAGAAAATGTGAGCAGTCGAAAACTCGCAAAATAAAACTAGGCAGGTTAACTCTATCTCAATATTTCAAGCATGGCCAGCAGGAGACCAAAGCTACGATAGTTTGTGTAAATTAAGGTCCATTAGCCTAAAATTCTAGTAATATTGGTTAAAAAATCGAATTCCAAATGCCCTAGTAGTACCAACCCACCTTATTTGTACCCGGATCCCTTAGTATCTCAATCCCTCTATTGCGAAGACGAGGAAGCTGCTTTGTAAGACCCTGAACAAACTTGCTGGACATCCTCAAGAGTGGTTCAAAAAATCAGTAACTACTATGATTAATTTTAGTTATATAAACAAAATCGAATTTTTAAAGACACACTTCTCGTATTAAAAAGCTGCTAAATAACCTCTTCTTAGAGAAAAACAGTGCGCTTAGTAAAATTTTTTACGATAGTTTATTTGGACGAAAACAAAAAACCGGTTCCAAGTGAGGTTTAAGCGATTCTAAATGATTTGATGCAAACGGACCAAAACCGATGTAGTGGACACTGTGCGAAACATAAAACACCTCTTCACACTCGGCATAATTTCTGATTAACTTAACTGTAATGCTTTGTTTGCGTTCGGCGTTCACATGTCTGGCTCTTATACTCGCGGGCTGGCCTTCGGTCCATGATCAGGCCCAAATTTGTCTGTTCTCTTCGGAATACATGTATTTATTAGCTTCACTTACTGTCTTCTCGGGACTCTACATTAGCCATGTACGCAGCCTATACACTGGCATCTGTGTTAAATCGTGGCGCGTCAATGCGTGCATATATACCAACATTACCATTTTTAACCAAAAAAATTATTTTTGAAGTTCCTACCGAGTGTGAGAGGCAGAAAATTTGCCTTAATGGCAAGCTAAATGAGCTAGATAGCGCTAAGCCGAAGGGGTCATTGCAATCTTTTCACTCCCCTCCTCTTTTCATCCCTTATTACCAACTATTCTGCACGGCACCTTACAAGTCCCACGTAACCACTCTTCCTCTAGAGGAAGCAAGAAGGGCTTAAAAGGTGGCAGCACCAGCTGGCTTATGTAATCCTTTTAAAGGAAAAAACTTCGATTATTGACATCCAAGCACAAAGCGTTACCTTGGCTTCTGCAAAATTAAAACAGAACGTTGTCTTCTTTCTTTGCTCTCATTTGCACAAATTACTTTGCGCAACATTTAATGCTAAGGTCTGCCTTAGCTCCGGCATCGACCAGTGTTGTGCGATGTTATCCCAAACGGCTTTGGGCCAAGAGGAGCAGCTCTAAACCTATGACTTCCACTGTCTCCAAAGGCTCGATGAGGGGCTGTTGCTTACACCAAGTATCCACTTAGGTGGCTGCCAAGTTTACAAAAAGATATCACCCTGGAGAATGAATTTACCTAAAAGGGCATACAGACTGCGTCGAAATCGACGTGGTGATCGACGAACTTTGAGGACTGCAACTTCAATCGGAGTTTTAATTTCCCTGAAATTCCAACAGATGTTCGACTGCTCTGCTAAGATCGCTGAGGCAGAGCGTCAAAAGACGCAGGATGCCATGGCAGTAGTAATGCGCTCTATAACGGCTGGAATCGCCAACAAGGCGTACCTGAATCTGTCCGCCGTTGTCAAAAACCGAATTTTGTGAGCTTATCATTAGCAGAACTGCGAAACCTTCAGGTTTCTCGAAATTATGGACCAATAGAATGGACGAACCATGACCTTGTGGAGCTAAAGGTCTTTGCCAAAGGCGTACAGCCCAAAAATTGGGACCTATCCTTAATGGAGCATACCTGTTTACCGAGCTATCACTCATTCCTCAACTGGAACATCTTTCTTCGAGACTCTCATGAGTCACGAAATGGAGATTCTTTCGACATCACTCTACCCAAAAGAAAGCACTAGAAAACAAACGCTTTCCTAGGATGCTGTATGCGTAAGAGCGACTTATTAGGCATTGTGCGGGTTACAAGTGCTGATACGGGGACATAAATGGGAGTAGCGATAACAATTATTCATAGATAGCGCTCATTCTTTCCTTAATACGGCGCTTAATTTTATTTCTTGTCCCTCCATCAAAAGACACATTTAAACTAGCGCGTATTACAATTCCCTCCTTCGAAAACAAGCAGTCTTAAGATACTTTAATTCTCACAGAATACCTGATGTTATTGCGCTGTCACATTCCGCCCCTGAAAGACTCCACTGCTCCTAGGCAAGTTGCGCTAAGCTGCGCTTGACTCCTTCTAGAAGGTATATTTGAAAAAACACATGATCACTTGAGGGTCCGCTTTGCAAAATCTTTTCGTTTAACCTTTCGAAACTCTCTGTGAGGCTTTAACGTGGTCCGAAGGCTAGCCCACTCAGCCCAGAGTAAGATGAGCACCCATGTGATTGGCAGTCGTACAAGCAGTCGAATGGACAAAGTACTACATTGACTCTCGATGCCCATCCGGCATCAGCCATCACAACGTATTCGGTGCCAAAAGAAAAAATTAACGGGCCAGCAGCACCAGCCAACAGCTAACATGAGATTGGGGCAACACACTTGGCTCCCTCAGCAACTTCGATCGGATTTAGGGTTACATTTAACCTGACAACAAAACTTAGAAGCAAGAGCTTTTGTTGGGCATCAATTTTATCTGAGCCCATAAGTTGAAACCAGAACAAAAGTCTTAAAAATTCGGGTTGACTTTCTACTACCAGTACTGTGACGTCTCGACAGGGACCGCTGCAGCTAACAGGAAAATATGTTTCGTCTACATTTTTCCCGCGATGTGAGACCAAAACACTTGTTTTGAGAGTTTGCTGGGTAGTGGATGTGTCTGTAGCAAAGGAGAGAGATTATCGGCTTCCCTAGTCTCTAGTAAACCACTTGGGCTGCACTGTGGCAGCTACCATGCCACAGCTGATGCATAGTAGCACTAAATAGGCTCTTCCAAAAACACTGCATTTTTTACCTTGATGACATTCTCGTCCTTGGTAGAGATATCCTGCACCAAAACTCTAAATTACTGTTGGTGTTAGACCGCCTTAGAGAAGATAGACTACCAATGAATCCACGCTAATACTTTTTTCTTCGAAGATTAAGCCCCTCCTGCGACACAATTTCAGCCAATGGAATAACAGTTCTGAAAAGACTGAATACGGCCGACGCCAATCAACCAAACCGAAATACCTCCTTTCAGCGAACCATTACGGGCGCTTCGTCAAAGGCTTTGCTAAGACCACTAGTCGACTGCAGAAGATAACAGGAAAACAAGCAAAAAGGGAGTACCAGTGGAAGGCAGAACTTGTAAAGGCGTCTAGAGAACTAAACCGCTTTCACTACACCACTGCTGTACTAGCCTTACCAAGCTTTGAGGCTAACGCTCCACCACTCGTTCCGAGCAAAGACGGAGTATTCTTCCAAACGGATAAAACGAAAGAAAATATCATCACAACTGCTAGCAGAAAAGTGTAACGAAAAGTTAGCTTATTGCTGCTTGTGTGATGGTCAAGCATTTAATACCTATTTTGGTGATTTAATGCAACGTCCCTGGGTTCCCAGTGTTAAATGGAGGCATAATGCGAAGATCAAATACCTGCATAAAGAACAAAATGGAATGCGTAGTACTTTTTACAGCCCTAAAAGTAGAATCCAGATGAACACCATAATGACCACCAGCCGCAAAGGAAGTTGAATAAAGTACCGCCGTTTTAGTTTAAGATGCACTCTGTTCTGAAGTTCCTTTGATAGCTTAGAGCTTGGAAGCGCTTACAGTCAGTTTTAATCAACCGAGACTTCCCACAGGGTGGAAGAAGGCAGTAAGTGAGGCTGAATACATGTGTTCCGAAGAGAACAGACCAAGTGGGCCTGAGCATGAACCGAAGACCAGCCCACGAGTACAAGGGCCAGACAAATCCTAAAGTGACCACCAAACGCCAGATAGTAACATAGGCAAAGCATTGCAAAGACAACATTGTAATAAAAAGTAGCGTCGTACGTTGGTGTTTCCTCTTTTTATTTGGAATTTCTTTTGGTCCAGTATTTATTGTATTGGCTGCAATCATAAATCCAATTGATTTTGATGGTCCCACTTTATAATACATACCTTTTTAACATGGACAAAATGATGTAAATAAACTTATAGAAATCGGAAACCCATTGGTACCACAGCTGCAAACACCCGAATCCAAAATGACATCAAGCCATTGGCGTCCCTAACCCAGAGGTTCACTCAGCTCATGCGGGAGGGTTGTGGTAAGTGTGAGGTCCTGTTGAAAAAAAAATTTTAAAGAAGTGAATTTTTGGCAGAGACAACAGTCCGAAATCGACCCGAACTATCTGCCTCTACAGATCGCCGTTACCACCTTAGGATCTCCATTTGTATAGTCACCATCAAATCTGGTAAATTGAATTGGTAAGTTACCAAGCATAAACTCGTACAACGTGAAGACACTCTGGGGAGATCGAAGCGCTATGTTCTCCATGAAAGACTTTTTCCTAAGGGCCATTCCCCTCGCTGGAAGCATTGTCCTTACAGGTTACTGCGTTGCATTAAGTCGGGAGTACGTTCGCCGTCAAAAAGAGAGGACCAGTTACATTGAGAACGTGGACGAGGCTCAACTTTACAGTTTTATGTCAAAAAAAGGAAAAAAGTTCGATATCAACAAGTGGGAGAACAAGCGTGTCTACAGGGAATGGGAGGACCCATCTAAGAAAGATTGAACACACTGCACCCTTACACTTTCGTATTGCCATCCCCTCGTAACAAGAGCTGAGACACCAAATGTAGAGCTGGACTTTTACTTTACCAAATAAAATGACAGAAGTACCACCACAAGTTTCAGCCGACGTACTAGCGCTCATCGCGGCGGAGGAATTCCCGGTACTCCTCCCCCGTCATCAGATCGTCTGATGTGGTTGAAGAATCCGGTTTCATCTTCAGAAGCCAACCTGGAATTGTCGATATGAGCAGCTGTGTGATAAGCAGTAGATAACCGGGTAGACACTCCCGTTTTGCGGGGATAATGGGGGCATTGCTCCAGAACTTCGAACAATCGACTCGTCATTTGTGACTTACCATCGTTTTCAGGTGACTTGTTTAAGAGGGAAGGTTTGTCTCTGACAGCTTCGTTAATTTCTTCGACAGTGCCACTGATCGGTGCAAAAAGTTCGGAGGTGGCTTTGCTGGATTCGGCATTACCGAAACTTTCTGGAATCGATAGCGGCTAAGGGACTCGCTTACCGCCCCTCTTCAGTTTAGTTCCGGGATCAGGGAGATCAACGTAAACCACATCTCCGATAGAATCAGTGGCGAACTTTGACAAGCCAATAGTGTATGTACCGTCCTCTGGGCGAATCCACTCGTGTGTTTTTGTGTATTTCAAACCTAAATAAGAGATAACGTCACGACTAGAGAATGCAGCATATGGTGCTCAAGCAGCAGCAGAGAAGCGCAACCACTGCTGGGGGGGTCAACACACTAGGAAACTGTTAGTAATGCTTGCGGACGTGGCAACTGCGGTTTTACGGTGTGGAGAAGGAAACAAGTGCATGAGGTAATAGACTTCTATGGAAAAAAATCAGACAGTATGATTTAATGCCCAGAGGCAAGGAGAAGGGTCAAAAAATCATTCAGAATAATTGCAACAAGCCCGAAATGCAGAGTGTGGTTGCATACTACTCATGGGCCTTGTTCCGATGACAGACAAAGTCTTTGGAGAAACCAGTGATGGGACTTGTCGAATCCACCTTAGACGAGACATAATACCGAGGAGCACCATTCAGCACGGATGCCACAGTGAACCCTCGGGCTTTGTGCCTACAAAAATGGCAGTAAGTCAGTGAGACAGAAGAAGATGATTAAAGGTTTTGTCCCTTTAAATCTAGGCATTGTTGGGAATTTTTCGTTGTCTTTAACCAAACGGCCCGTTGCTTTTTATCAACAGACATTGCCTAAAATACCTCAAATTATAGAATTTGCTTGTACGACCTTGACCTTGAAGCTGGATGATTTCCTTGCTCTAATTGGATGTCGAGGCGGTGTGTAGGCCTTACCCAGATTCATATCGACGATGCATTCGCGTTGTAACGATCTGTCTCTTTGTGCTTCTGGGATCGGATGCAGGGTCGTTCGTGGGCCAGATTGGAAATGGGGAAATCAAGTGGGTTTTCTACTTGTTCAAAAGGCTTCTATGATGCTATTTTTATTCATTATCCAGTCTTGACTATTTTCTTGGAGTATGTTCCATTTCACCATTCAGCACCTTATTTCAGTTATCCCTTCTTTTTGCGTTTATCTCTCGTTATTATGACGCAAAATAATCGTATTTGTGCGTCATTGTAACATAATGGATGAGATTGAGCTATGAATGTTTTCCCATATTGGTTTCTACCTGCCATCTCACCTACTAAACTGTCCCATTTAAATGACGCTTTTGGTGTCAGGATGGTGGCAACGGCCACGTTGGCTCTCTTCGTCGTTTTGAAGCTCGTGGCGAGGCCGTTGTATTATGGGACTCTGGAATAGTGGCCAACTACCGTTGTGGTGCCTTGGGTTTCGACTTGCGCGTACTCGACAGCTCACCAACAGGCAGGCGTCACTTGGATACTATTTGTGAGGGTTGCAACGAGTCTCCAATTTACGGTATACGTTGGAAATGCATGCTTTGTCTCAATGTCGACCTTTGCTCTTCCTGCTACCATGGCGACAAACACTGCCTCAGTCATCCATTTCTCAGAATCACAACACCACACGGTGTCCGGCAAGTTGTTTTAGTTTTAATTTATTTGCCAGCTATCGTGTGTGCTATGAAACTCCTAGAATCCAACCTTTTAGGGTCACGGTCGGTCGTCGCTCAAAAGCTCAAAAGACTGATGCAGTGGGTCTCTTTCCACGAGCTCGCGTAGTACGTGGCTTCGATTGGCGATGGGGTACTCAGGACTGCGCCACTGTAATACCTGCTTCAGTCTCCACTGCGGGTAATTCGGGGGCCGCCCTGACCAATGCTTTGATGCCGCAGATCTCTCCGGGCTCTTCCGCCGCTTCTCTCGCCACCTGTGAGAGCGCCACTCCATGTCAGGGTCGAATCATTGATCGACGTGACTGGTTCCAATGGGCACCTAAATCAGCTGTCTCCGTTGCCTGGGACTCTGGTGCTTACAATGTCTACCGTGTCGGTTATATGGGAATGGTTGACCTCAAAGCTGTTCGACCTGCCAAAGGTTAGGTTGTATAAGTTTACCGTACTTCTTTATGCGGCGTAACTAATGCGTACATCCTTCCCATTTTAAATGAAATTCCATATTAGTACGATTTTAATATAGCTTATTGCTTATCGATTTCAGGCTGTTCGTTGGTCTGATCTTCCCCTTTTATATTTATCTGAATAAGAGACTGTATTCTTAAATCACAATTTATATAACAAAATTAGAACTCAAGGTCAAAGTTAATGGTTGTCTTCATGCATCTTAACTAATCTACAGCACGTTTAAACTTCTTTTATTCCTATTTCTGTTTAAAGTCCCTCTAATAGGTTTTATACCCTATCATTTGTGACTAGTAGTTGAATGTACTTGCTGATTGATCATTTGAATGATTTTCCAATTCTACTCCCTTCGATTGCACTGCCGTCTATTGCCTAGATGATGCAAGTAGTTGACATCCTACATCCTCTATTTTATTGGCTACGAGTCTCCAGCTTGAGGCACGCAGTGGTGACTGTGGTTGAACGTAAACAACACTGGTTGGGCATGTACACGAAACGACTTCTATATCTGTGGCTTCATGTATAGATACGTCTATCGAATTACATGTTGATTGTTCGGCCTTATTTGAAAGTGCCATATTTAAATGAATCGTAAGGCTTTCAGCCTTTTTTGCAGTAATGATACTTCAAAGGTTATTCACTTCGAATTATAAGATATCATCTATCATTGATGATTTCTTAATTTCATCTTATTTACTCTTTTTTAACCAATTTTGGTTGTGACTCTTGCACTTTCAGGCGACAAAATCCTCGGGGTACGTTTTACATGTTAGCTCTGCTATTACGAGGCTGCTGATTGTTATACCTCTTTTTTAGCTCTTTTATAAATTCGCACTTGCCTGCTGCTCCGTTCACCACACCAATGTTGGGCTAATTTAACGCCCTTATCGTGAAATAATCCTCTTTAGTTGCGTTAATTAAATTTTCCGTTTTCCAATTGAATTAATTGGTGGCATCGCTAATTGGCCCGTCATTTCCAACTTTGGAACACTTTGGAACACTTTGCGTGTTTGCTTCTAGGGGGTTCATACTACGCTGAACACCTTCCCCTTCTCGGAGATCTTCGAGACCTCCCTTCTCAATCGGAAAATGATTCCTCCACTTCCGTTATTGCTATACCCTCTCAGCTGCAGCCGCCGCCACCTCAACCGATCGAAAACATCGTCTGGACGGCTGCTCCACGCACTCGTGGTCAAATTGCAACATCAACTTCGACAGGTGTCGCTGAGGTCTACGAGGAGTCCGCGGCTATTGATCCGGGGGATCGAATTCCTCTAACCGACGCTGAAAGTGGGGCTAGACCTAGTTCAGTGCCCACTCAGCGCCCCAGGGGCAGCGGTGGCGGTGGGGCTGGCACGTCCCGAACCCTCTTAGCGGACCTCTTCTGCGCTAGTGGCGGTGGCGGCTCTGCTCCCTCTGAGGATGGTAACATGGCCGCTCCAGGAAGCAGTCCCCCACCTTCTGTCTTGTCTCGTCCCTCACCCGCCAGTAGAAGCAGACAGGTAGTGTTACCGGGATCTTATCGGTCGTCAACTCTACGTTTGCGACCTGGAGCCGTCATTCAGCTGCGTCTGCGATCGATGGTGAATGAGAACGCGGTGGCTACGACAACTTCTCCTGGCCCGGAGGTTCGTTGTAGAGGAGTATCTGCATTCCGATTATTCATGCTTCTGCTTAATGTACCAATATGGAGTAATTATTCACACAATCATTCCTCTGTTTTTGTTAAATCTTTACTGTCGTTTGGCCTTTTTTACCGTTGGGTGTTCTTGTATTTTTGGGACGATTTGCCCACCCTATAGTTATTTCGATGCCTTGGTTCTGACTACTTTAACTGGTTTTGCCCTTTAGATTGCTACCCATTTTTTCCTTTTATCTATACTCCGTGAATAAGTCGATTGAGCTCAATGTTCTTGCCGCTTGCCTTCAGTTGAACATGTAATGCTTCGTTCTATTTGGCATTGCTTCCTAAATGAAGTTATTACTACTCAAACAGGATGATAAGACTCGTCGTTTGCAACAGAAGCGTTGGAATCGGTATTGCAAAATGATGCTGCCCCCTGTAAACCCTGTCGTTTAAGCGATTCGGTCTTTTACCTCATGTTTTGAAAAATATTGTTTATTCGCCGGCATCTTTTGTCGTTTTTCGCATACTTTCCTGTACCATGATTAATGCTTGTGTTCCCACTACCCTTGGCTAAGTTCTCGTGTTAGCGAATTCAACTTTGCTTGTAACCTCACCCAGGTCGCTCTTGCTTAACCTACTTTCATTAGGTTGTGAATGGATAATGTCTACTCTTTTGAGACATCTCAGCATCACTGAAAACACTCGTTTTTGTTGTGTTTAGTTTAGTAGTTCACTGATCATTTCACGTTGCCTCCGATTCTTCCTTGGTGCTAACATTTTATTCTTCGCATTCATGAAGTGGTACAATTGTGCTCTCTTCGCTGACCAATAACACATTAATCCCGAGTTTCGAACTTTCACGGCTACATGTTACCTTTTTAAAACACTAGACTTTATTATATTATGCTACGAAAATGAACGACTTTAAATGGGTGTATTTGCCAGTCAACCAAATCAAAGTGTATTTTAGATTGTCTTACGTTCTGTGGTGTTTAAATTCCTTCTGGTTAAGCTATAGGTCGTACATATATAGACTCGGCTTCATTAAGGGGTGCGAAAAGACGTGTTGTATTGCCGAAAATCGTGTTCACAGAACATCTTGTGATCAAGGTGGTAATTGAATGAACACACAGGTCTCTGCCGTGCTTACTGCTGTCGCTTTTCTAGGTGACCACCAAAATGTAACCTGTGATTTGAACAAAGTCTATGAACTTCGCACCATAGGTCGCTGATTGTGACAGAATAACTTACCCTTTCTCTGGGAGTTACAGCTCCTAAGAGTACCCGCTTACCAAAATTAATGCAATATTTTCAACAACCCAACATTTATTACACGCTTTCTACTACTGCTAAATTTTTTTCACTGCTGCCAAGCCGTCTCTTCGGACCCCATTCCTCTACGAAGAAAGTGGTGTGACTATCATCTGCTTTGCTTATACACTGTAGGCATGCCGTAGACAGCTTAATAATGTCCTTTTTGAATTGTACGTCTCGTATTTTTTTAGCCGCTAATGATCTCATTGCAGAAATCGTGGACTTGGCTTCTATAAGCCACAGGTTAGGGGATTCGCAGCACAGGTTTACTCTGTGACGTTTCAATTTCAAATCAATGGGAATGGGAATGTAAATGGGAAACGAGGACCTTCTAGAGGATGGAAATTAGTTATAGACAGTTCCACTAAGATGGGCGAAAGGTCTTAGGTCATTTGATGTATTTTCGAAAATATGATCACCGTGACGCTGGCACATGTCGACTTATTTTATGCTTCAGTTGCCTAAACGCTGATGTTCCGCTTCTCTTATTGGCTTTTTTGCGCCCGCTCCTCCCCGCAGTACCTCTCACTCCCCAGCGTGGTTGAACGCGTGGACGACACGACGGGGTCGGTTGTTCTTCTTATCCCACAGACGGGACAACGTTTCACTCTCACTAGCTCCGCTACTGCTACATGTCAGCAGCAATGGCAAGGACGAAGTGAGGAGCGGCTACTCTCTCGTCATGTCTCTGCTAATTCCACTCTACTTACGCGTATGCGACGTCGCGATTCCTACGCTCGTGCAGCAGCTGCCGCTTCTGCTTCCACCTCCACGTCTGCTGTCACCATTGGGGAAACCGGCCTTGTGGAGAGTCAACAACCACCAGAGTCGTCACAACCTCCCACCTCCCAACCACAATCACAAGAAACTCATGGTGATTTATCCACACTAATATTGTTACTTATTTTGTTCTAAGGAGGTGGTTAATTCTCCTTTTTTGTGGCCTCAGAGCCTGTGCCACGCAGTCTGTTGAAGCAGTCGAGTAAGCAAGTGGCTGAAGAGCTCATGTTTGCAGCTGCTGAGGGTAACGTCAAAAAGATCACTTGGCTCATCAAACACCGTGACATTAATGTACGTACCTGATTCCTAATGCTTTTCTTATTTTCACTGTTATGCTTGTTACTTGGCATCACTTTGGTGCCCAACATTTTTACGTGACCGCCTCATGTGTTCGTTTTCATAAACCAGGTGCTTTGATGGAACCCTGGTCTTTAGCAACTGGCATCTTTATATCCAAACGGATTTTCCACATTTTTCAATTCATTTTTCCTTGGCTACGTGATTGTAAAGATGTGAGGCCTTTTAAATCCACCTTTTTTCCATCAAAGTTACATGAAAAATGAGGTCACTCCGAACCTCAAAAGTCATCGACGTGAAAGCAAATCTAGTAAATGAATTGTGCAGCTGCTTATTTCTGTAAGTTGCCTTTAAAGTCGGCAAAAGTTTGTCTTCGTTGACTTCCTGTTTAAGGAAGTTCCTATATTGTCTTAAAAAATACCCTTCTACATCGACTGTTGTTTTTCTCATATGGGAATTTGTTCTACTATCAGTGTTTCGAGTGTTCCATTGCACCCCATCAATTTCTTTCCTTCTGTTTGAGGTCATTCTAAATTAGTTAAAGGTGGAATTCTGTGTTCTGGTTCATATAAAAATCAAAACCGTTTCAATGGCTCTGTGAGTATTTGGCACTGCTTTTCTCGATCTGCCTCTTACTGCGAAAGGTAGACTTATTTAGTTTTCAGGCCTTTCTTTCTCTTAGGATATGTATTGGTTGTATGCACAGTTTCTCGCCTGTTCAATTCTAATCAAGCATTTTTATCCTCAAAGTTTGGTGGTAACTGGTTGTGGATGTCCAGTATCCCGATCGTATCATTCTCGTTGTCTTGCAAAGGATCTACATGGAACGTCGCGTTGGAGAGTTGGCACTTATGCATTCTGTAGCGCTGTTACTTTTACCGCTTGCTTTTGGACACGTCTTGATCCCTCCTTACTTTCTTATCGTTTCTTTGATGTTTAGTTTAAAATGCACTCGGTTTTATGATCATTTGATGGTTTTTTTGCGTTTCCGATCTCACTCAAACATTTTTCAATTTAATTGACTTACTTAGGGATCTGTGTCCATTGGCCTCTTAAGTGGCCTTTTTCAGTTGAACGTCGATCTCTTGTCACCGCTTAGAGTTAACAAACTCTGCTCATGACGGCTTTGTAGGAATTGAGGTTTATCATTTTTTTAAAATTCGTCAATTACTTTTCTCTAGATCTTGGATAACCCACTTAAAGCAAAAGCACTTGGACGTGTTTGATTTAAGATGTTCAACCTCTCTCCCCTTCTGTTTACGCAGGTAAACACGCACTATGCTGGTGCTACTGCCCTCCATGTAGCCTGCCAGTCCGGTCACCTGAACTGCGTGGACGTGTTGCTGCAGAATGGTGCAGACTGTCGCGAGCGCGATGCCGACGGCAATCAGGCGTTGCACGCAGCAGCTCAGGGTGGCGCGCTTCCCGTCTTGCGTCGAATCGCGGCTACTTTGAGTCTGATTGAGCGCGAGCCTCATCCTTCCACCTCAGCCGCCGAGGTTTCGTTACCACCCGACGTTAACGCGCGTAACTCCCTCCGTCAAACACCGCTCCACCTCGCTACTGTCGGTAGGCATATAGAGTGTGCCAGGTCACTACTGGAGGAGTTCAATGCCATTCCTAGCCTTCAGGTGTGTTGTGCGTACCATTTTACTTCTTCAATAGAACCTGGTTTGGTTACATTTCTGTTTCTATATGATTGTTTATTTCGATTGATGAAGTTAATGCTGCTAGCAATCCACTCGTGCTTGCCATCAGCTTGTTGGGAGTTCCCAATGTAAAGAATTCAGCGAAGCTCTCATTTATTAATAATTGATTTGAAAGGTAGCTAGTGGAAGACAAATCGTTTGAGTAATGCGTGTACGCGTAGATGACCACAATGAATTTATAATTCTTGGCTGGGGTTTGTACAAAATTAGCAAGAATAACCCGCCCACTTTATATTTTTGTGGAAAGTATCTGATGCTGTTGGTTAGGGCACGAACTGATTATTAGTGTTGACATTGTAATTAGCTGATTACTAGCCTAGTGAAACTACTGACGCTCATGATAACATTGTCCATCTTTTTAAAATGCCTAGTTTAAGAATCGGTACTCTTCACCATTGCTAAATGCATAATTTGGCGAACCTTGGTTACAACGGAGATAAGTCGCGTGAATCTGACCTGTTAAAGGTTAATGTTAATTATTTTACGAAGTTTTTATTTACGACATCGCTGCTATGAAAGCCCATAGAAAGAGGCTTACAAGTGACATTTCATGACTTCACAACAAAGTCTGCGAGGACATAATTACTACCGCTGATCTAATTTCCTTTTTTACTCATTGTTTATTATAACAAGAAGGCATAGCATGAGGCGAACAACCTCTTTGCTCCTCTACGCTATTTTCTACTGCATTCATTGACTCTAGTCAAAGCTGCGGTGTTAGCAGACTAATGCTGCCGAGTCTGCACAAATGAATGGATCACATTATTTCAGTGTTTCCAAATTGAATAATTGGTGTGCCTTGATTACTAGTCCTTTTGTAAGACCTGGACTACCGTACATTAAAAACAATGAATTTATTTGGGCATGACTTCACTTAGCTTCCCGCAATTTTTGTCAATCTTTCTGGCGAAGGAGCAATTAAATGTCGAGAAATGTAGAGAAGCGACTCTATTCATGTCCTTTAACTGCATCTGATGGTTCGATCCAAGCTATGGCTAGGTTAGATAACATTGTTCCAAGCTCAATCGCCTGATTTTCATGTTCACTGTAAATGCCTTTCGCACAAATGCAATATTTTTTAATTAGTCGTACATTCGATAAATTTATCTTTGATTATGACACAACGGTTTATCATCTGCACTATATTTCAGATCATATTTACTAGAACACTATATTCAAGAGCATGCGTTTGATCTTATCTCCTCATAATGCATTGTTTTACGACGCCAGTTGTGATGTAATCAAAGCTGCTTTTGATCATTTAGACTTGCTCGGCTTTAAAACGCACAACTTCATTGAATGCGTGAAATTATTGAATTTGCTCTTATGCTCTCGAAGATATCTGGATTTCCTTCTACGGTTCAAATCCTGAAATAAGTTATTTATTATCCAACTCTACATTCATCAATGGCCTCACTGTCCTACTGAAATAGGTTAAGTAGAGTGTGTCGCTGGCTATTGTAATCCCCCAAAGATCAAAAAGCACCTCCGCAGAAGCATTTCGTTATCATGGCATTGTGCTAGGTATGTCCGGTCCTAGTCTACTCACACAAAACCTCTTTTGCTTTTGGACTTCAGTTTCCGGTTGAGGTACGGGTTTATACCGATCTCAGTAACGCCCTGGGCGTTAACCATTGGCATTGTCTGCATAAACAAAAGTATGACTACTTCTCTCTAATTAGCGTTTTTTAGAATATGTAGAATTTTACTGATAAATCACTCTATATAATGATTTTTAGTTTTCAGTTACTGCTCTGTCTTGAGCGTTCTGTGTAGTCGATAATCGTTATGAATATTGCCCTGTGTCTATTTACTTCTCCTTACAACAATGAATCACAATGACAACAAAGTGGCTTTTATCAGATACTATCGCAACTGAACGTATTTTATTACAGAATGTCACATGCAAGCACGCCTCCAAGGTTACTGAATTTTGTGTACCTCATTTTGGAACATCATGTTAGCTTGTGTAAGAGTACGGCCAGCATGGATCGAACTTCCGATATCCCTGTCCTCCACATTCCCTTATACTTACAGGTGGTAAGAGAATGAACATGGATTAGTGACATCAGTGCTGAAAGGTGACAGCTTGTTCGCTCCGTTTTGCCTCCATCTCGCTTCCCCCATTTAAGATAACGCTATTTATGGTTTTCATTTCCCATCTGGTGAGTTGCGTTGGGAGGTGCATGTTTTTCGCTCTCTTAGCATTAGATTTCGTAGTCTCATTTATTGCTATCGTAGTAAGGTCTCCTCTTTTAATATGAAAACATTTGTTTCATCTCTCTCTAAAATCAGCAATGAATTATTTGATGATATTTGATGGCGTATCACTGAAAGCTACCTATGCGTTTAAGACACGACGGTTCCTGACCAAGGTGGTTGGTCTGTTGGTGTTTTCCCATCCTGCACTTTGCTGGCGCTTAAAGTCGTACTACACTATGCGTCAAGCACAGTTCAAGTTGTTGTTCTACTTCATTTTCTCAAAACACCTCAATTGACCCACGGAACAATTTTGCGGGTTATCAGAAGAATGCGCAAGCGTGAAGTTATCGATGAGTTTAGTACTTTAGATGTGGGCGCGCTAGTTTTGGCATTCGTTTCTTCTTATCTCAGTATCTCACTGTACTCTTCGGTTCAGATTCAGCTACTTAACATATTAGCGGTTTGGCTGATCGGTGAATTAATTGAAACACGACCGAATTTTTATCTCTTTCGCATAGCCATTTTTATCCTAAGATGACTGGGCTTTGTGAGGATTTTGTTTTGAGATATATGCTTCATAACACCCTCACAAATTTTAGCTCTTCTGATTGGACACCTAATTCTTACTTGAACACCATTCTTCTTTGTGTTACCGTTTTACTCTATGCATGGAACATGTTCTGATGGTGGTTCCAAATGGAAGCTAGAAGTACTAGACACCTGGGTGCAGGTTTCAGTAACTCTCTTATTTGAGTCTGAAAATGCCATTGTGGATAAGCCAATTGATCGTAATTTACTCTTTTTGCGTGCTTGTATTGGTATTGGAGGTGGGATTGTGCGCTAGATTACTATGCTCATCTTTTTTCACGATCCTTATGTTTGATAATACCTTGGAACCCAAAAAACATGTGATCATTATTAGTTTCCTAATGGGAATTTGCTTATTTTGGAAGAAGACTACCGTATTAGCTTTATTGGTCGTGAAGTAACTACGATGTAGTGACGGTCGACATTTGAGTAGGCTGCATGTCCCTTATCTTGCAATCTCATTCTTAGCATATGCAAAACTATTCTTTTTTATTTTGAAGAAAAAATGTCAATTGTTGATGTTCCAATGCAACTCTGTCGAAGCATTTGTTAAAAATGGTATCGCTTTAGGAGGTAGTTAAAAGTGTGCAGCTCCCTAACCGCTTCCCAGAAGTAAGAGATGGTTGCTATCGTTATGATGGGAAATAAGGTTCCCTATGGCTGCCTAAAGAATGGCAACTTTGGGGCTCAGTCAAAAATGTTGGTTGACAGCTTAAAATGACATTGAGCAAACTGGTCCAAAAAACTGTCACAAGTGGTCAAAAGCATTCATTTTGTGAATTCTTTGCTTTTACCCAAAGCCTCTCTGTAGCTGTAACTAAGCATCCCCACGCTGTCTTTACTCTATCGTTCCCACAGGACCCGTGACCGTGCTACGCGATCTGCTAGCTGTATTCCTGTTGAATTGGAAAAAAACAAATCGTGGTAGCCTAAATGGGTTTTGTGTTTTTACTTCTGTGTCCAACCTAACACAATGTCGTACTTTTGCAGGTCACTGGTCTCAAAACGCTTCCGGGACAACCCTCTGTTGTTGATTGGTCTATTTGCTTTTATAAACTTTTGGGGCTTTCTTTTTTATTCCGATATGTTTGTCTCAAAGGGACTAGTGTGCGTTGGGTTTGTTGCCTATCATCCAAATAGTCGGTGGGCAAATTTGTCACTGTTGTACATTTCCCTTAGGATTTTTAGCTTTATCTCCAGATTACTCTAAAGTCGAACGGCTATCCATACGTTTTAGATGACTCCTAGATTTTGTTCAAAGGTTTCAAATGGAAGCATTAAACAGTTTCCGTGACATTTTTGGCTGATGAATGCCAAAAATGGAGTCAAGTGGAGTGATGGCGGGATTAAATGCTACAGGAAAGAATTGAATTACCGATCAGTTCCCGTCGCAAATTCAATTCGTTCTTCAATTACCCCCCTCCTCTCCCTTCCCCTCTTCTCCCCTCCCCTCCGTCCTCCTCTACCCTCCTCCCTGAGCCACGCACACCCGACTGACAGAGTTGATTTACCGCATTAGTGAATAAGCAAATTGACTTGGCGGTCTTTTGGGTGGCTTCATTTTGTTTCTTTTCCCTTTCTCTCTGAATGGTTTGACCCACATATTTTTACAAATATATCGCCTCCTGATAGACCCTAATTAACAACAACTACACCCCATTTGATTCTGGTGTCTAAGCTCTCCTTTCTCCTGTTCATGCCAACTTTTTACTTAAGTTAAATTTATCTTAAAGAACTGCAACAAGGTTATTTTAAGACCACATTGTTAAGATGCCAAGTCCCAGCCGCTTTTTTTGCTTCATTCCATTTTGATTCGTCTTCCAGTTCCAAGAGCCACCAACTAGCACAATACAATAGTGCTGTAAAGCCTGTATTGGGCGTGTTCCTTGCTACTTTCCTCAGCATTGCTGACCAACAAATGATGGCACACGTTTTAAATGTTTTGCCTTTTCCATTTCGGTCCTAAACGACGCATCCATTCGTTCGGTTCAAGGAAAGGGGTTCTGTTGTAGCATTTGAAAAATCTGACGTACTAACAACTGTCTAGTCTGGTTCACTCGTTCAAAAAGAATGCCGTTAGAAAACGACTGAGTCAAACCTTCCGTTTCGGCAATGCGCTTTTTTAAAATAAACTTGTTTCCTGTCAAAGTTTCGGTATTGAAAGAGTTATCCGGCTCAATCTTTTGCATTGAAAGTGACATTTATTCAAGTTTACTTTTTTCATGAATCATGCGTTAAGATCTTCGCGCTTTAACTGGAATGTGGGTAGGATCTGCATCTGA